TGATTTCATTCACACACATTCTTTTTCTTACGCTACAATTTTTTTTTTATTTTTATTTATACATGTACGAATTACGAAACACTTAATAGGGCTTAAAAATTATAGTTTTTTTTTTTAATTTCATTTTCATTCCTAATACATTATATATATTTTTTTTATGAACACTTCTTTTTTTTAAACATTCAGAAATATATGAAGATTAAATTTTTGAATTTTTTCCTACAATAGATATAATTTTTAATGGGAGATAAATTCTCATACTATGCTGGGTGATTTTAAGGATTAATTCATATTACAATAACTATTATTATTATTAATATTATAATTATTATTATTATTATTTCTATAATTAATATTATTATTTTAATTATTATTAATATTATAATTTTTATAATTTTTTTTTTATTATTAGTACATTAATGTGAGTATTTTAAAATTATATTTTTCGTACGAGCTTTAAAACAAGCTTATCTGCGTCAGTTATTTCATTTTTAGCGAGACATTTTTTTTTCTATAAACTAAAAAAATAAATTACCTAGTCTCCGATAAAATGAAAAAAAAAGTTTTTAATTTTTCAAAATTTATCCTCTTGGTAAATTAAATTTTTTTTTAAATTTACTCTAAATAATTAAATTATAAAATATTTTCAAGTTTTTTCAAAAATTTATTTTTAAATTAAAAATATACAATGAACTGATATTAAAAAAAAACGAGGGAATTAAAAATATCGAAAATTTTGAGATAATTTTTCGAAAATATGTACAAAAATAATGCCAATTTGTCAGCACAAAATTGCAATTTGATTTAATTATTTACATTTTATATATGTAATTTCTCAAAATTTCCCAAATCTTTTTCCAAAATTTAATAAATATTATACAATAAAATTTTTTTAAATTTCTAATTTTTTATTTCCAAATATTTTTCAACTTTTTGATCAAATTTTTTCAAATTCTAAATTTAGAAAAAATTATTTGCTTCTAAACGGCATTTTATAATTTCTACAATAAAATTAAAAACATTTTTTTATATTGAATAATTTTTTTTCTTATATAATAAAAATAATTTTTACTTTTCGAAAAAAAATATCGGCGACTATGCAATTTTATTAGGAAAAGAACCCAAAGTGACGGGATGAAAAAACGACATTTGTGACATTTTTTTTTTTTCATAGAAACTCAAAAAGATAAAATAATTTTTAAAATTACAATAAAATTGAGAGCAAAGTTTTCTACATAAATCTAAATAATAATTTTCATTTAACTGAAATTAAAAAAAATTTTTTGAAAAAAGTGTACCTACATTTTTTAAAAATTTTAATTATTTAGTTTAAAATTTTTTTTCGAATTAAATTTCAGTTAAACATGCGATAAAAATAATGAAAAAAATAAAAGGAACTTAAAATTTAATTTAAGTGACTAATTATTTTTTTTCCATTGTAAACGAATAGAAGAAAAATGAAAAAATGTTAAAAATAACATAGATAATTTATGCATTTTGTGGCGCTATGTTCGGTAAAATTTATTTGAATAAATAAAAAATTCTATATGAGAAAAAAAACTATAAAGATAATGAAATTTCACTAAACTTACATATAGATTTTTTTTTATTATCGTAAAAGCTATTATATGAGGATAAAAATATTAAATATTTAAATAAATATACACGAGACAATTTACTACTTAAAATATAGAGAGAAGACAGAAAATAAACTACATAGATTATATTTAAATTTACTTTAAATTTTTTCAATTTTTAAAAAGTTTTCGAAAATTTTTTTTTTCTTTTTTTTTGCAAATGTTTGCAGAAAATAGAAATATTGTTGGAAAAATTTAAAACTTATAAAAAATCATCATTGATACTTTTACTTTAATTGAAGCAAAAAAAAATTTTTTAATGTCAACTTGTTCCTGAAATAATAATCCAAATGTAAAAATTTCCCATTTTTGTAATTTTAGAAAAAACAAAAAAAAAATTAAAATTATTTATATTTAGAGAAAAATTATTTTTTTAAAATCTATTTTAAAATTAAAAAATGAATAATGCAAAAAAAATTAGAAAAAACTGATTGAATTATAAATTTTAATTTAAACTCTCAAATAACTGTCGATTTTTTTTTATTGAAATTTAATATTTATGAAAATGAATTTTTTTCGAAATTAAAATAAATGAGAATAAATTTAAAATACTTCCAACCTTTATAAAATAAAAAAAAACATTTTGCAAAAAAGAAAAAATTATAGAAATTTTTTTTCCATTTACTATGAAATTGAATAGAATTTCGTTAATAAAATTCTATTCACATCAAAAATTTAATAATCTAAACATTCTAAAGAAACATTTTAAAAATTTTTTTTTAAATTTTTCTTTATATACTTGAATTTTAAAATTAAATTCATACTTTGAATCTTCATTTAAATATAATAAGAAAAAGCTAACAAAACAATGTTTCTTAACTTTTAGAAATAAATAAAAATTCAACTAGAGCAAAAAAAAAAAAAAATATTGTTAAAATTAAAAAAATATACAATTTTCAGTTTAACTAACTTTTAAAATAATTAATAATTTACCAGCTACATAAATTAACTAGCCTCTATTTAAAACTGTCACGTTTCTATAAAAAAAAAATTCCCGTACACTAAATGAAATTCGGAAATATTTTTTTCACTCATTTTCTAAATAATTAAAAATTACATTTTTGTTTATTTTTTTTTTTCAAATGGAAAAATATTTTACTAGAAACCAAATTATAGAAAATAATGCATTAAACACCACATCTTTTAGACACGTATACATTTTAATTATTGTTAGTAAAGAATTTGTCTTGTTTTTTGTTATATAGTTTGTGATATGTTAAAAACATTTTTATGTGCAAGAAACAAAAAAACTCATTCACACATAGTGAGAAAAAATATAAATAAAGAAAAAAAATAGTATTATTAAAACTAAAAAATTCCACGTGGGATCTTGAATTATTTTTAAAAAAAAATTATATTCAGTAAGAAATTTGCAACTGATTTGAAATTTATTATTTAATAAAAATTATCCAAAAATTGACTGAAAAAAACAATAACAAGACGTTGGTGTTTATAGGATTTTTTTTCGCAACGCAAAAAACACTGGAGAAAATATATAACTTTTACAGAACAATAATAATTAGTTGCAAAATAATGAAAATTATTTTGAAATAATTTTGAATTTTATGAATTAAAGACTAACGAAAAATTATAATTGTTATTAAAATAAATTTTTTTAAACTAATTTTTTTATTAGTTTCTATTTAAAATTATGAACACAATGTTTTAAGGAGGTTTATAATTTAAACATAATAATAATAATAATAATAATAATAATAATAAAAATAATAATAATAAAAATAATTATTATTACAATAATAAAAAAAAATAGTTACAATAATAAAATAGTAATAATAACTATAATTATAATTATCAGTTAGTTAATAAATAACAATTAAAAAGTAATAAATTATTAAAAAAAAATAATTCAAAGAATAAAATTATAAATCTAAAAATCGTAGAAATAAATAAAATATATTTTAAAACAAAGATTAATATAATCATTAAAAATAACGAAATTTTTTTTAAAAGTAAATTTCGTTCAGAAAAAAAATTAAATGTTAATTATAAATATAAATAATAAATTATTGCAGTGTTGTCATTTTATGAAAAAAATATTATTGTATTTCATACTTTTTTCGTGCTGTAATATTATTATAAATCAAATTTCAAAAAATTTCACTTTCATTATGCATCATTATTGTATATAAAATAAACAAAAAGAAAGAAAAAGAAACTAAATATAATTTTATTCAACTATAAATAATTTTCTAAATTTCCTAAATTTTTTTATTTAATTTTACATTTTTCAAAATTTTTTTTTTTTTGCTTCACTCTTTTTCATTATATTGAGAAATTTATTAAAATTAATTATTTCTTGTAAATTTAAAAATAAAGGAAATTTATATTCATTTTTTTTATTATTTATTTCATTTATAAATAAAAATTTTATTTTTTAGAAATTTAACTTAAATTTATAAATTTTCATCCGCCATTTTGAATTCTTAAATCCTCCATGTAAAAAATATTTTTCTGTCAAATTCATTTCTTCAAGTTCAAAAGAAAAATAAAAATTAAAAAAAAAATTCAAGTTAATAATGTAATTTTTATAAAAAAAACAATTTATTAAAAAATAAAAATTTTTTGAGAATTAAGTTGCGATTGGTGGTAATTTCCAATAAATTGATTGATAAAACCATAAAATTATTCCTATTAGAGATATTAAAAAAAAATATTTAAGGTTATGTCAAGTTGTAAGTAAATTTTTCTCTCCTATATATAAAAAAATTCGACACACTACGACTTTGACATAACCTAAAAAAAAAAAAATTACTAAATCTGATTCGAATTTTTTTCATTCATTTTTTTCGTTTATAGTTTTTTTTCTGCGTGATTGAAAAGTATATTCAATTTTCTCCAGTGTAGAAGCAGTGCTCAGTATTATTTTTACGTATTTTTTTTTTACAAATACAGAGACAAACACATAAAAATATGATTCTTAAAGTCTAACCACCACTGTAGAATTTTCAATGTAACCATTTTTTTTCCATTGGAAATAATTTTTCGGATTTTTACCAATCGTCGAAGATTAAAAATCTAATGATTTTTAATCTTCGGCGATTGGTAAAAATTCGAAAAATTATTTTCAATTAATATTTTTAATAAATAATTAATTATTATTGACGTTATCGACTTTCTATTTTAAGGTTATGTTTGAATTTTTCAAAATTGATTCGACTTTTGAAAATATGGCTCGCGCAACGAAGAAAGGGATCTAAAAATCAAAATTTTATAGGTTATGTTTGTTGACTTTCGATTTTGTATTCTTTCTTTGATTTTGTAAAATAATAAATTTTATTGAATATTTTTATACGTAAAAAAGAATTAAACAATTAGGTTATGTTTGTCAACTTTTTATCTTAGATTCTTTTTTTGATTTTGTAAAATAATAAATTTTACAGAATACTTTATATGTTTAAAATTTAAATATATTGGATTAAATGAAAAAATTTGTTTTTCTTAATAATTGCAGGAAAGGAGAGAAAATTTTTCTCAATATTCTACAGTGGCGTTAGATTTAGATTTTTACATATTTGCGTTTCGAAGGTCGCGTTCTGTTGAGCAGTGAGTGCAACAAGGATAGAAGTACTCGTCTATTCTCTCTCTCACTGTTCAACGCATGCGCAAAGGTCACCATTCAAACGCAAACATGTGAACAGAGCCTTAAATTCCTGGAAACAAAGTATGAGTTAGAAAAGGATAGTCAAGAAGGAGATAAGCCGTCCTTGTTTAACACACACTTTCGATCTGTAAAAATCAATAGCGTTAAACTTACGAAGAGCAAAAATTTACTAAAAGGGAAGGTAACCTTTTTTCTTTCTCGTTCTAATTTCTATAAATTTTTTTTTCTCTCTAAAAACCTCTTTTTTTTTTCTTTTTTTACTAGTCGACCCCTGCCAATTGCATTAAAATTATATATAAGGCAAGGCTCGCTCTTCGGACGTCCACACAACTTTCTACTCATCTACGTCTTTTTTTCTTCGATCTACCAAACTTCTTTGTTACTGTCGCCACTTCTGGATCTGTTCCACCTCCACCACCTCGATTTGCCATTTCTTTAACAGCAATATCCTCCTCAGTGTCCATTGGTATAACATTTGCATTTGGATCATCCGATGAACTTGAATTCTCCTTTAAATTCTCCGGCTCTGAATCACTTCTTTTCTCTGGATCCGAATCATTTCTTTTCTCAGGCTCCATAATATCATTCTTCTCTTTTATTAATTTCTCCTCAAATTCAATATCATTACTTTTTTCCATTTGACAATTAATTTTTTTCTCTATCACAGCTTTCATATCACCATTACTACGATCGATTGTACTTGATTTTTCTAAATTATCATCATTTTCTAAATTAATATTCTCCTTTTCTAATAATTTAATTTCTTGTGTTTCTAATTTTATATCTTTCTCTAATACATCATCTTCTAGTTTATTATTTTTAAGTGTTGTTATTTCCTTGAGGGTTTGACAAACTTCGTGTTTTGGTGAGTTGGAGACATTTTCGGTTAGTTGAAATTCTTCTTTTCGATTCTTTTTATCGTCAAGATCATCATCATCAGGTTTTGTCTGTTGAATTTCTCTTTCTTCGGATTTATTTTTCTTGAGGACTAAACTCCATGGATCTGGAGATGAAGTACCCTCTTTTTGTTTTGACGAATTCCAGGGAATTTGGGACTTTTGCAATTTTGTATCATCGGAATTTTTCTTACCCCTTTTCTTCTTCTTCGTACCACCTTCTAGTATTTTACATTCGGGAATAAATGGTTCTTTCATTTCGGCTTTATGCATTGCGTCAATGTCTATTATTTCAACTTCCGATTGACGCTTTGCTGACGATGATTTTTTTATGATGATTTTCTTCTCATCATCAATTTTTACCTCTGGCTTTTTATCGTGTATTTTCTTTTTTATCTCCTCTTTCTCTGAATCGATATCGATTATTTCGATTGCCTTCTTTATTTTCTTGTCTTCTATTATTGTTTCGGTGATTTTCGCTTGGTCCTGTTCTGATGTGGCAGTAGTTTGTGTTTCGATAATTACGATGTCTTTTGTCTTTAGTGACTGAAGGGAAGAATCGTTGGGTAGTGCGTCTAATTCAGAATGGAGAACATGCTCCAAATCATCGTCTGATGATAAAATGTTCTTTAGTAATTTCTCCTCGTCGGGAATTTCGGTTTTTTCCTTCACAACATCGAATTGATGATTTTCTTCCAATGGTTGTATTTCTTCGGCCTTTTGTGCTTCTTCTAATTCTGTAGAATGTATATGCTCGAGATCATCGTCGGAAATTGTACTCTTACTCGATTTACGCAAAACTGGGATGTTCTTTTCCAAGTTCTCTAGATCATCGTCCGATTGTTGTGAGGCCATTTCAACCATATGGTATTCCATGGACGCTAAATCATCCGCAGTATCAATTGTTGGTTTAGAATCAACTTTTTCAATTTCAATCGGTTCGAAATCCTCTTTTCTTCTCTTTGTCTCCTCTTCTAGTTTCAATTTATTTTGAGTTAGATCCTCAACGACGATACTGTCCTCACTCTCCTTGAGAAGATACTTGGGTTCACGAAGTTCTAAATTCTTTTCACTAATTTTCACCTTGTTCGTTAATTTGTTCTTTTGCGCCTTTCTGCGAGCGGATTTATTTTCCATCAGTACAACACTGTCGTCATCATAATTGACGACATATTTTGCTTTAGCAAATTTTCTCTCTTGATCGTCGCACTTTGATTTCCAGGCATTATCTCTTGCTTGAGTCATTGGACTATCGGGAATTTCACCTTGTTGAGCACATAAACTTAAACTCGTTGGAACATCGCGAAAAGAATCTTCGCGCTCGAATATTGAACTTTTGCCAAGTTCAGCAACTTCGGCGCAAAGTGTTTTCTTTTCTTTGACCTCCTTTATATTTTCATCAGGCACACTATCGATAATTGGTTCGTTCGCTGTTCTCATTTCGGCGCATATCTCCGTATGACTGCGAAGTATTTGACCCTCGGAGACGAAGTCCGTTAAGGAAGTTGGACCTTCCTCAGCGCAAACACTTCTTGGTGGTTCGGGCGTTGTTTCTTCATTGAGATCACAATCCTGGCTAAAACTAATGTCCTCTTCGTCGGCCGAAACTGTTATCACGGTGCCCAACGGGTTGACAACTTTAGCTACCGGCTGTCCCACCCTTTCAATAACCAATCGCCTCCCTAAACAGAAAAAGCCGTTGGCAGGTATCAATATTTAGCTTCGTATTTAGCTTCTTCTTTTAAGGGTTTTTCTCTAAGTTTCTAATTTTTAATTTTAAGCAACAATGGCACACAGTGGAAACAGTTTTTTTATTCATTTTAATTACTTTAATTCACTTATTCATTTTTTAATTTCAAGTTAGTGAAAATAGAAATAACTTGCAAGCTGATTCACAAAACAATTCTCCTAAATCTTCATACAAACTTTTATTGAAACGAGTGGAGCAAAAAGTGGTAATTTGGAAATTGATTGTCGTCCCGAAATCAACTGGATTTCTTCAGCAATTGCTGACTGAAGACGCTAATAGGTAGAGGACTTTCTCTCAGATTTTATGAAAACAAGAATTATTACAACGAACTACAACGAACTACAACGAACATAATCAAAACGGACCCGCATTATTAAAAGAATCCCAATATTTTCTCAGATCATCTCAAATCGTTATAATAAGTTCCTCTACCTTGGTCACTTCCTGCCTCAAAATATTTGCCACAATTATTCTACCAATTCTCGTAGTTAAAAAAAAATAAACAAAACATCTAAATTCCGTGAATCATCTTGCCGGTAATATTCTCTTTAATCTATCATTTAATTACCTTTAGACTTGTCAAAAAAAAAATTAATTTTCGAGTAAAAAAAATTTCCCCACTCCTGTGCCATATTAACCCCTTAACTGCAGCGATGACGAAGATTTGACGACCAAAATCTTCGTCATCTGCACTTAAGGGGTTAAGTTATAAAAAAATGAATATTATGAACTTAGAAATATGAAATGAGAAACAAACAAATAAATAATTTTGTAAAATATATAAAAAGTAATTCGAAAAAATTAAAATGAAGAAGATGAACGGACAAGAATGAAAAACGACGAGAACTTTAATAATATTAATTTCAATCATCACAGTTAATTATAAATTATATTGTTTGCAATACACCTTCGTTGGATTATATATAGTCAACAGTATTGTTTTTTTAAAATAAATTTTAAAAAATAACCAAAAACTATACAAAACCTTATGGTCACTTTACTAAAGTTACCTCGAATTAAAAGAAACTATTTTTTTTGGCTGTATTCCTCAATATGAATAAAGTAATTGAAATTGTATCTACTTGAAGTGGACATAGAAGATATAACCTAAAAACAGGTGCGAAAAAGTTTTTGGAAAACATAAAGCGCATGCGTGGAGAATAAGTGCTGTCATTGGCTGTTTTCGACACTCAGAGTTAACATTGGTTAGATCTAACAGAATGTTTATTAATGATTGGACCTTCGTTAACATAAGGGTTAACCTTGAGTGAGTGCAGAAAACAACCGTTATCGGACAGTAAAGAAAGAAAAATAGGGAAAATATAAAGTGACCATAAAATATTGCAAGAAATATTGAAAGATGTTTTTTTTTAATTGTTAATTAACAAAATTTTTTTTTTTTTGCATTGAATGTCAAATTCGTAAATCATTAAAAATGTTTTTTAATGTTAGCCATCATTACTCTTAAGGTTCTGTATTATTGATAACATGTATTGCTGAATTTTAAAAAAAAAATTTGTATTGCCAAAAAATAAATAATAAAAAAAGGTCAATTTTTTCGCTCTAAACAATTAAGCATATCTCAGTGAAATTTTATTTTAGATAATCGGAATAAAAGCTTCTTAATTCCTTGTATTTTCCTGCAACTTTTTTGAAAAGAAAATCATTAATCTAGTTCAAAGGGAATTAGAAATAACTGTTTTTTTCATTACAATCCAGACAATTTGTTTATTAACATTTAAAAAATTTTTTTTGTATAGATTTGAAGATTTCAAATTTCAGGAAGTCTACTATTTTCGTTCTACAAAATTCCCGGCTTTTTGACTAATTTTTCCCGATTTTTTTCTTATCAAATTTAAAATTTCTTTGATTTCGAAGTTCGAACATAAATAAATAATATACAAATGGCTTCCAAAATTTCTATTAGAGATTTTATGAATAATTAAATTCTTTTGACGAATTTCTTTAAATTTTTTGAAAATAATGTTCTTTTATATAATTTCAATTAAAAAATTTGACAAATTGTTGAATTAAAAAAAAAGAATTTTTTCAATTTTTTAAAATATTTTTGTCTGCTCATTATTATAATTGAAAATTTGATTAATTCAATTTTATTAAAATATTTTGATATACTAATTGAATTTCTGCAAAGAATTTTACTATTCATAAAAGTAACTGAATCCTTCCAAAAAATGTTATTATTTATAAAAATAATTAAATGTTTTCGTAATTTTATTAAAATTTTCGAAAATAATTCAATTGTTGAGAACAATTAAAATAATATTTATAAAGATAATTGAAATTTTGATGCGAATTTTGGAAAAATTGTGAATATAATTGAATTTCTGCGAAAAATTTTATTATTTTTGAAAATAATTGAATTGTTTTTTAGAATTTTATGGAAATTTATGAAAATAATTAAATTCTTGTAAAGAATTTTTTAAAAAAATGATATTTAACCAAATTTAGTAAAGAAAAAATTTTTTTACATTTTCTAGAAATAATTAAATTCTTTCGACGATTTTTAATAAAGTTTTTAAGAATAATTACATTTTTCGAGGAATTCGATTAAAATTGTATTAAAAATAATTGAAATTCTACAATGAGTTTTATTATTTATGAAAATAATTGAATAGATATGAGAAGAAATTTTTAAAAATAAAATTATAATTACGATGACTAACTTCCCTTAATTATTTTCAAAAAATTTAAATAAAATTCTTTAAAAGAAGTTAACTATTTTTAATAGAATTTAAAGAAATTTCTATTATTTCAAAAATTTTCAATTATTTGTTTATAAAAATTCAATTATCATGAAACAATAGAATTGAAAAATTTCAAAAATCTTATTTTTCAGAATTTTCAAAAAAAAACTTTGCAAAAATTCAATTTTATTGAAAAATTTTAAGTGTGTATTTTTTTTTAAATTGACCTATAAAAATGAATATAAAATTCAATTATTTATCAATTATTCAATTAAAATACTTTAAAAATTCGATTTATTAAAAAGTTTTTAATGAACTTCTTTAACAAATTTAATTATTTTCAGTTGATAATGGAATGTAAGAAATTTCAATTATCTGAAAAATTTTCAATTATTTGTTTATAAAAATTCAATTATCTTGAAACAATAGAATTGAAAAATTTTAAAAATCTTATTTTTCGGAATTTTCAAAAAAAAAAAACTTTGCGAAAATTCAATTTTATTAAAAAATTATAATTGTGTATCTTTTTTTTAAATTAACTAATAAAAATTAATATAAAATTCAATTATTTATCAATTATTTAATTAAAATACTTTAAAAATTCGATTTGTTAAAAAGTTTTTAATAAAATTCTTTAAAGAAAGTTAATTATTTTTAAAAGAATGTAAAGAAATTTCAATTATTTCAAAAATTTTCAATTATTTCTTTATAAAAATTCAATTATCTTGAAACAATAGAATTGAAAAATTTCAATTATTCAATTGAAATACTTTAAAAATTCGATTTGTTAAAAAGTTTTTAATGAAATTCTTTAACAAATTTAATTATTTTCATTTGATAATAGAATGTAAAGAAATTTCAATTATTTGTTTATAAAAATTCAATTATCTTGAAACAGTAGAATTGAAAAATTTCAAAAACCTATTTTTTCAGAATTTTCAAGAAAAACTTTGGGAAAATTCAATTTTATTAAAAAGTTACAATTGTATTTGTTTTTTTTTAAATTACCTAACTAATAAAAATTAATATAAAATTCAATTATTTATCAATTATTCAATTAAAATACGTTTGAAAAATTCGATTTTTTAAAAAGTATTCAATGAAATTCTTTAACAAAATTTAATTATTTTATTTATTTTCAGTTTGAATTTCACAAAATTTCTATTAATTCGATAATTTTTTAAAAAATTTATTTACTAACTACATTTGAATCAGTGACTGATTTTTTACTATCAAATTAATTATTTTTAACTAATTCAACTTTAGAGAACAGTATAAATATCTATAAAAAATTGAGATAAAATAAAAATCGTAAAATGTATCCATTGATTATTAATTATTAAAAGAAGAAGTGAAAGTTAAAGTAAGAATAAGGAATTTAAAGGAATATAAGATTTTAAGGCACATGACGATATTTGCGAATAGTCCAAAAATGGATGTTAGAGAGTCTGGGGTTTTGTAAAAGTAATATTGTCCGGGGTTACTCAACTCTTCCCAACTAATTAATAATAATTTTTTTTTTTTTTTTTTATTAAAATAATAAAAAAAAATTAAGATGAATTTTTGAAAAATCGTCATTTCTATTGAAAGGCACACCATGAATTAAAAAAAAAATGATTTTCGTTGTTGTTTTTTGTTGTTTCTCCTGAATGTATCACTAATAAGCTAGAGAAAAAATGATTATAATTTTATCTTATGAAACTTGTTTTAATAAATGGAAAAAATGTGTTTTTGCATACACACACATACTTTTTGGCACGGTTCAGTTATCCGGGTGGGGGGTTGGAAAAAAAGAAGAAATAATTAGAATGAAAGACAAGTTATTATTATTATTATTATTTTTTTTTCAAAAGAGAGTAAATTCTATAAATTATGTCTTTCTTGATTGAACGGAAAGAATAATATATACAATGTACATCGTTTTCAAGATCAAAAATAAGGAGGGTTGTGATACCTGCCTCTGGCCAATTCTGTATTCATATCACGCAAACTTATAACGCTATTCATCCGTCACCACGTGCATGAAAATAGTGTCAAATGTGCTTGCAAATTTCAATTGCAATATACAAATGAATGCGCACATAATTTATCAAGCACACTCTATTTATATTCGCTTCTTTTTTTTCTCTCTTTTGGAGACTAGGAACTAAAAATTTTGTATAAAAGTAAAAAAAATTTCTTCTAATAAAATCAATGTTTGATTTTTTTTTTTTAAATTTACATGTGAAAAATGAATGCGTGAAGCATTCAGAAAAAATCATAATTTATAAAATTAGAAATACTCGAGGAAAAAAATAGAGTTAGTTTGCTGTTGGCAAAAATAAAATCACACTTAAACAAAACTGGTCATAATCAGATTATTTTCAAGTGCATGCATTGATAGAAAAAGACATCGAAAATATTATTCTTTTATTTCATCATTTTCACTCTATTTTTTAAAAAAACAAATGAATTCTGTTATTTAAAGAAACAATACTTTTTTTGAAGGCCTTTTTTTTCAAATACTTTCAAAATCTATAGACAAACAATTCTTAACCTTTAAGAGGGCCGGGGTGGCCACTATAGTGCCCAGCATTTATTTTAACGAATCTTTTTATCGAATTGACTTCTTATTTATAAATTTTTTTTACTAAAAAAACTATTAAAAATTATGCAAATTTACCGACCCTCTAAATGTTAAATTTATGTTAAAAATAAAAATTTAAAGTTAAAAAAATGATATCTTATTATTACACAATGGAGCATACAAAGGAATTTAACACATACAGAAGCATTTTTTTCTGGCATGAATTCAAAATATAGAGACTCATATTCTTTATGTTGTGTAACTATAAATTACTAATATGTATTCATTCTAAATTCTTGCCTTGTTAAAAAAAATTATGTTAATTTTAAAACTTAAATTTCTATCAATTGTAATTAATTATAATTTTATTATGTAAAAATGTGCTAAAAATTTTTTTTGATTATTAAAAAATAGAACTCTAGGTATTAGTTGAAGAATACTGAGATATAAAATAATAAGCCTTCTGTATTTAAAAGTATTTACTTAGAAATTAAAATCAAAATGAAATAGAGTTTTTAGAGTACTGTTCGAGAGTAATTTTTTGTAAATAGGATAAAAATTTGATTTTTCTTACCCGGTCCTCGATGTGGAGCTGCCGATGTTTCCAACATTGCTTCAGCGAGATCCTCTCGAAGTTGATTTTCACCACTGACAATTCCAATGTTTTCATTTTCCAATGAATCTCCATAGGCTTCCATAAATCTCGGGGACTGCTCGTAACTACCTTCATTGCGTAACAATTACAATTAATTAATTATTTAGAAATTTAATTACTTAAGAATTTAATTACTTAAGAAATTAATTAATTAAGACTTTAATTACTTAAGAAATTAATTAATTAAGAATTTAATTACTTAAGAAATTAATTACTTAAGAAATTAATTAATTAAGAAATTAATTAATTAAGAATTTAATTACTTAAGAAATTAATTACTTAAGACTTTAATTACTTAAGTAATTAATTAATTAAGAATTTAATTACTCAAGAAGTTAATTACTTAAGCCTTTAATCTTTAAGAAATTAATTAATTAAGAATTTAATTACTTAAGAAATTAATTAATTACTTCCAAATAGAAAGTAGGATTACTTCTTAATTTTTGCATTTTCAAGGACTAGAAATATTCTTTATAAAAGACAGAAATTAAATTAAATTTTTTTTTATTAATTACTAATTGTGACTTACTTCCGGATCCATCGATGACAACAGGCATCAAAGGCCTACTGGCTGCGTGAGGCATATTAACAGGATTCGACCTCGCTGGACGAGATCCACTCGATACAGAGATTTCTACCGTCTCAGCTTCAACTAAATTAACGGCAACCCTAAACAAAGAAAAAAAAAGAAACACGAAATTGTAACATTTTAATTAGGAATTTTTAACATTTTTTTCAAATTCTCTTTAAAAATGTAAATTATTTTTATAAATAATAAAATTCTTCTGCAAAATTCAATTACTTTTAAACATTTTTGAAAAAATCTGATAAGAATTTTAATTCTCTTCATAAATAATAAAATTCATTCTAGAAATTAAATTATTTTCAAAAGTAATAAAATTCTTCGAAAAAATTCAATTATTTTCAAAAATTGTCTTAAATTTCTCATCAAAATTTCAATTTACTATTAAATTTTTTTTTAAAAATCTGTTCATAATTTCAATTATCTTTGTAAATAATAAAATTCTTCTTTAAAATTCAAGTATTTGCAAAAAATTTCATAAAATTCTTATCAAAATTTCAATTATCTTTATAAATCATAAAATTCATCCTGGAAATTAATTTATTTTCAAAAGTTCTAATAAAATTCTCAGCAAAATTCAATTATCTTCAAAAACAAGAAAATTCTTCGCAGAAATTCAATTATTTTCAAAAATTTTTTTTAAAATTCTCCTCAAAATTTCAATTATCTTTATAAATATCAATATTCTTCTGAAAAATTCAATTTAGTTTTAAATTTTTTTTTAAATCTGTTCATAATTTCAATTATTTGCAAAAAATTTTATAAAATTCTTGTAAAAATTTCAATTATCTTTTTAAATAATAAAATTACTTCTCTGAAATTCAATTATTTTCAAAAGATCTGATAAAATTCTCTGCAAAATTCAATTATCCTCAAAAATAAGAAAATTCTTCGCAGAAATTCAATTATTTTCAAAAATTTTCATAAAATTCTTGTCAAAATTTCAATTATCTTTATAAATAATAAAATTCATTTCAATTATTTTAAAAAGTTCTGATAAAATTCTCTGAAAAATTCAATTATCTTCAAAAGTAAGAAAATTCTTCGCATAAATTCAATTATTTTCAAAAAAATTTTTTTAAATTCTCCTCAAAATTTCAATTATCTTTATAAATATCAATATTCTTCTGAAAAATTCAATTATCTTCAAAAATAAGAAAATTCTTCGCAGAAGTTCAATTACTTTCAAAAAAATTTTTTTAAATTCTCCTCAAAATTTCAATTATCTTTATAAATAATAAAATTCTTCTCCGAAATTCAATTATTTTCAAAAGTAATAAAATTTTTTGCAGAAATTCAATTATATTCAAAAATTTTTTTCAATTTCTCGTCAAAATTTTATAAATAATAAAATTCATCATGGAAATTAATTTATTTTCAAAAGTTCTAATGAAACTCTCTGCAAAATTCAATTATCTTCAAAAATAAAAAAATTCTTCGCACAAATTCAATTATTTTCAAAAATTTTTTTTAAATTCTCGTATAAATTTCAATTGTCTTTATAAATATCAATATTCTTCTGGAAAATTCAATTTACTTTCAAAAAAGTTTTTAAAGAAACTTCAAAATTTTAATTATATTTATAAATAATAAAATTCTTCTCTGAAATTCAATTATTTGCAAAAAATTTTAATAAAATTGTACGCAAGCATTTAATTATTTTCATAAATAATGAAAATTTCACAGGAATTTAATTACTTACTAATTTTTCATAAATTTCTTCTCAATAATTCAATTATTTTCATAAAAAATAATTAAAAAATATTTTTTTTTTATAAAGTCTTATAATATAAAATAATCATTTTATCACTCGGTTATCTTTAATTATTATAAAATATGAAGACATCGATTGCTCCGAGTCGAAGACTCGGAGTAATTGATGTCTTCATGTTTTATAACAATTTTTTATAAGTTGTTTAATTTCAGAAATGTTTGAATTTGCATGTTTTAAAAATCTTAATTCCTATGGAAAAATAATTATAATTAAATATTTATTTAAAATAGAAGTTTAATTCGTACCAGAAATTTAATTAAAATAATATTCAAAATATTTAAATATAGAGTTTTATCCAAATTTTTGAAAATAATTCAATTTTTTCAAGAAGCGTGAAATTAGTGTTTTTTTATTTTAATTTTTTGTTTTATAGTTCGAATTGTTATGTCAAAAGTTTGAAAGTTAATTTGTAAATAATAAAATAAGTGAAGTGAGAAAATTTAACCCAAATTTCAAAAACTCAATAAAAAGGTACAGTTGCAATTATTAAAAATAATTATTTACTCTACTGAGTTATTTATTTTTGTATTTAAATAATTGAATTTTCGTAGTTGAATTCTGATAAGAATAATTGATCTTAAAAAGAATTTTAGTTAAAACTTTAGAAAATAATTAGAAATCTTAAAAATTGGATTCTTTAGAAATAATTAAATGTCAAAAAGTCTTTAAATTGAAATTTTTGAAATTCTAATTCAATTGCTGTAAAAGTATAATAAAAATAATATAAAAAATTATTAATTTGTTAGCTTCCTTGAAAATTGAAAGTTCTGAATAATATTATTCAAAAATTCTAAGAAAAAAATTGAATTTTGAAAGATTTGCACTTTAAATTTTCATAAAAAATTTTTCAAACGGTTTTGCATTGAAAGTATTTTGATATTTTAAGCAAATAAAGAACAATAAGTCTGAATTTAAATATTTATTTTAAATAAATAATTTAATTTCATTTAAAAGCCTCGCTCTTACTCGGAACGTAAAAAAAAGTGATAAACATACCCACTGGGTGCGTTGTAGGTTTTAAAAACAAATTGTGGCCCCATCCAAAGTCTTCTGTGGGGTCCAGCGTGTGTTACAATTTCGACCTGGCTAAGCCATCGATCCTCATCCGATTCAAGATGCTGTAGATTTTTCGGTAATATAGAAACTCCTAAAAGTGGACTAGAGGGAAGCAAAGGGGGGACAATCTCCAACGAACCCGGAGAACGCAATAAAGGCCATTGACCTTTTGCTTCCACTTCTAATTCAATGGAAGTATCATCACATACTTTTTCCTTTGGTACACCTGTAATGATAGTTGCAAAGAAATTCATTCAATTTGCCTTTATATTTCAATTTTATAATTTATATTTAAGGCAGCGCTCGAACCAGTAAAAATATTTGAAAATACAGACTTTACGGACGAATTTAACTAAAATTCTTCTTTAAATCAATTTTTATTATAGAAAATAATATCTACTAGAATTCAATTATTTAAATACAAAAATAAACAAATTTATTGAATAATAATTGAATGTTTCTTAAAATTCATTTCCAATAAAGAATTTTATCAACAAAATTTTTAAATAATTAAATTCTTTCGACGAATTTCTATGAAATTTTAAAGAATAATTACATTTTTCAAGAAAAAAATATTTAAAAAAAATTATTTTTATTAACCCCTTAACTGTTTGAGGAAAATACAACATGATTGTCCCAAACTGCCCAGCGGAATCTGATACTTTTTCAAATAGTATAATATATTTAAATTATAATTAATTATTCAATTATTTTCTAAAATATCATTAATGACCCTTATAATTTCTTATAATATTGATATAAAGAAAAATGTCTATCAATTTATATACAAATTATATTTATTTTAGTGATAGTGAACACGACCCACGGGTGGGTCGGAAACAGTTATGGCCATACTTTTTCACGACCCACCCGTGGGTCGGAAACAGGCAACGGGTTAAAAATAAAAAAAAAATGTTAAATATTTAAAAATTAAAAATATTTGAAATTCTACTATGATAATAATTGAATTCCTAAATGAAATTTTATTATTTATGAAAATAATTGAATATTTTCGTAGAATTGTAACAAACAATTTTTTCAATAATTAAATATTTCCATAAATTTTACGAAAATAATAAATATGTGACGCTCCACGAGAAAAGGGTCCTTATTTACTCTTGTCATAAGGTCCCTTTTCTCGTGGAGCGTCACATATATTGAAAATTATTAAAGTGCAAAAAACTTTAGGAAAATAATTGAAATTTTCCAAAGAAGAATTTTATTTTAATTTTTGAAAATAAATGAATTTAAAACAAACAATTTTACTATTTGTAAAGATAATTAAATTCTTGAATTCGTTAAAATTTTTAAAAAATAATTGAATTTTCTAAAAGAATTTTATTAATTTTCAAAAGAATTGAATTCTTACGAAGAATTTTGATATTTATCAAAATAATTGAATTTTGATATTTATCAAAATAATTGAATTTTGAAAAAGAATTTGTAACAAAATTAAATTTTTTTTGTGTTTTTAACTAAAATTCTTCTATATATATAAATGCATTATTTTTAATAATTTTTTTAAAAATTCTGAAATTCATTTTTAAATCAATTTTTATTAAGAAATTTTACGAGAATTCAATTATTTGAATACGAAAAAAAACAATTTATTGAATAATTGCATGTTTCTTCAAATTGAATTCTAAAAAAGAATTTTATTAATAAATTTTTAAATAATTTAATTTTGTTACGAATTTTAATAAATTTCAATTCGATTCAAATTGTGTTAAAAATTATTAACACAATAATAATTTTATATATTATTTTAATATTTTATTATATTTATGAAAATAATTGAATTGCTAAGAAGAATTTTATTATTTACGAAAATAATTGAATCTCTGTAAAAATTTTATTATTTTTGAAAATAATTGAAATTTTCCCAAGAATTTTATTAAAATTTTTGAAAATAATTGAATTTTGGAAAATAATTTTTATTATTTTTATAAAGATAATTGAAATTTATACGAGAATTTTTAAAAATTTTAATCATAATTGATTTCCTTAGAAAAATTGTATTATTTAGGAAAATAATTGAATCCCTGTAAAAATTTTATTATTTATGAAAATAATTGAATTGTTGCGAAGAAATTTGTAAAAAAAACTTGTAAATAAATTGAATTCCTGTGAAATTTGTATTATTTTATGAAAATAATTAAAGGTTTGCTTAGAATTTTATTAAAATTTTGTTAAAATAATTGAATTCTTTTGGAAAATTTTATTAAAATCGTAGATATTAAAAATCATTGAAAAGAGGAAAATCTTTGAAAATAATTGAAATTTTTCCAAAAATTTTGAAAATAATTGAATTTCTGCATTTATTTGTAATTTCTCTAAAATTCTCCAAAATTATTTTCATTATTATGATTATTCATTTTTAGAATTTTCAACTAAAATTCTTCTTTATGTCAATTTTTTAAAAATAATTTTCGAAAAAGTTTTTTGAGAATTTTCAAGTCCATTTGTTTACAATATTCAATTTTACGAAATTTCGATTATTCTGACATTCTTCAATGAAATATATATTAGAAAGTAAAAACTTCAAATAATTAAAAAAACTTCCATTAAACTTTTTAAGAAAAATTAATTCTACAGAATTCTTAAATAAAAATATGAAAAGTTCTAATTTTCAAAGATTTTAATTTGAAATTAATTTTTAAATCAATATTAATTATTAAAAAATTCTACGAGAATTCAATTATTTAGCTACAAAAATAAATATTTTATTAAAAAATTTAATGTTTTTTAAAATTGAATTTTCATATAGAATTTTATCAACAAATTTTTAAATACATAATTGAATTCTTTCGACGAATTTTAATAAAATTTTTAAGAATAATTTCATTTTTCGAGGATGAAAATTGTATTAAAAATTATTGATAATCATTTGTAATTGCTTCAAAATTCAATTTGTTTTAGTTGTTTCAACTAAAATTCTTCTATAAATTAATTATTCTTAATAATCAATTAAATATATCATAAAAAATTTAACTAATTTCAGAAGAATTTTAATTCAAAATTTTTTTTTAAATCTAAGTTGGAAATTCTGAAAAAATTTCGGTTTTTGAAAAATAGTTATTAAAATTTTCTAAAGATATATATTCTTGAATTCCGGAAAGTAGTTTTTAAAAAATTGAAACAACGAAATTTTGTAAAATTTTATAAAAATAAATTTTATATTTTAAAGAATTTTATTTTTTCATCTTTAAAAGTTATCTGTAATAAATATAATTATATTTTTGAAAATACATTATTTTACGAAATAACAAAAATTTTCATAGAAATTAATTTTAAAAAATTCCAGTTTAAATTTTAGAAAATAATTGAATATTTAAAGCGTTATAACATGAATTTTAAGAATTAATTAAATTTTAAAGTATTTTTGCATTCAATTCTTTGAAAATTTAAGAGAAACAAAAGTATAAAAATATTTTTAAAATTATTAATTACATTATTTTTCTTGAGAAATTCTTAAAGTTTTGAATATAATTTTATTCAAAAGTTCTAAGAAAAAAAAATAATAATTGAATTTTGGAAGAATTACATTTGCAATTTTTAGAAATAATTAAATTTCACAAGGTTTTTTCATTGGAATTATTTGAAATTTTAATTACTGTATGGCAAAATAAATAATAAATAATTATTTTAAATTTTTACAAAAAAGTATTGAAGTTTAGAATAATTTAATTTAGAAATTCCGAAAATATATTAAAGAATTTAACTAATTTCGGAAGAATTTTAGTTTTTTCTTTAAATCTGAATTTTTTAATATTTTGAATTAAATTTATTTAAAATTGAAATGTGCCAAAATTTCCAATCAAAATTCCCTGACTTTTCCAGGTTTTTTTCAAGGTTTATAAAATTCTGTGGATTTTGCAAGTTTATATTTTACCTGCAGCTGCCTTAGGTTCGAGGTCATATTGAATCATATTTCCATGGCAAGCCATTATAAACAGTGAATCGACAGCCTTTTTCGTAACTTTATTTGATGAATCCCGTTGTGCGTAAATCCAAGCACGAGGTGGTGCAAAGCAGGCGCAAATTTTTAATGGTAGTGTCACACTTTCATCTGAATGAATTCTTTGTTTTGGCTGCGGTCTTCCGCTATAAAATGGGAAATAATAGTTTTACTCAACATCTTACTGTAATAATTATTATTTCATTTTTATTTTCAATTAATCCACTTACCTTGGTTGCGATTGGCTATTGACGTGATTTAGTGTCGACGGTTGTCGAATTTGTGCCAATGGATGTAAAATTGTTGGATGTGGATAAGGTGGTAGACGGGGATTTGTGTAAGGATATACGGAAAGAGGCAATTCGGCGAATGAGACTGGAGAATGGGATCTAGTGCTGTCGTCAGTTAGACCGGCACTACGATGGAATCTCGATAGTCTATTAACCACGTGGGGTGTTGAGTGAGTTCGAACTCCGACAGGACCGCCATAGGGCGCCACGGGAAAAACGTGTGTTGTGCCACGAACTGTTGAAATTGCCGCCCAACGGGTATCACTCGAAAATGTCATATCCTAAAAAAATTATCGCACTTGATTATTTACAGGGTTGCCACAAAAAATTTAACTTTTTTTCCCCCTGATTTTTAGATAAAATTTTTTCCTTTTTTCCCCTGACCCTATAAAGAATATTCTGATTCACTCCAAAAATTATTAGATACTCAAAAAAAAAATGTTCTATTACGTTTATTTAGGAACTTTTTTAATTGGAAAATTATTCGAAAGCATTAATAACTTCATGTTTAAATAAATACAATTTACAAATTATTATTTTACCATTGGTATTAAGATGTTCAAAAAAAATTTTTAATTCAAACCTTTTCAAATTGAACAACTCATATATTATTCGACTCGGAATGATCCATTTCATTATGTTTTATAATAATTTTTGGAAAAAATTCTTTAGAAATTTTAAAAAAATTTAAAAATTAAAATAAAATTTTCTGTTTACAATTCAATTTTATGCAAAATTTTGATCATTTGAAAATTCTTCAGTTAAATTCAATTAAACTTTCACAAAAAAGAAATTAATTCTACAGGATTGTTAGTTAAAAGTAAGAAAAATTCAAATCTTCAAAGATTTGGATTTGAAACCTTTTCAAAATTTAATTATTTTCAAAAATAATAAAAAATTTACAAAAGTTCAATTATTTAAAAAACAATTTTTTATTTTATTAAAAAAAACAATTTTTTAAGAATATTGTTATTAAATTGTTCTCGGGAATTTAATTATTTTCGAAAAAAATGCAACTTTTCGCAGAAATTCAATTATTTTCAAAAATTCTAATAAAATTCTATACAACAATTGAATTATTTTCAATAAAATCTAAACTAAATTGATGGAAAAAAAGTTAGAAAAATTCAATTTTTCAAATACATAATAAAATTCTTCGCTGAATTTAATTAGAAATATTAAAAAAATTTTGAATTAAAATTCTTCTGAAATTAGTTAAATTTTTTATTATATTTTATTTTATTTATTTTATTATATCTTTGAAAAATAGAACTTTTCATACTTTTAATTAAGAATTCTGTAAAATTAATTTTTCTCAAAAAGTTTAATGGAATTTTTTTTAATTATTTAAAGTTTTTACTTTCTAATATATATTTAATTAAAAAAATGTCAGAATAATCGAAATTTCGTAAAATTGAATATTGTAAACAAATGGTGTTGAAAATTCTCAAAGAGCTTTTTCGAAAATTATTTTTAAAAAATTTACTTAAAGAAGAATTTTTAGTTGAAAATTCTAGAAATGAATATCATAATGATGAAAATAAGTTTGGAGAATTTTAGAGAAATTACAAATAAATGCAGAAATTAAATTATTTTCAAAAATTTTTTTTTAAATTCTCGTATAAATTTAAATTGTCTTATTAGAAATACTAAAAATTATTTTCCAAAATTCAATTATTTTCCAAAATTTAATAAAATTCTTGGCAAAATTTCAATTATTTAAAAAAAATTTCCTCTTTTCAATGATTTTCAATATCTTCTATTTTATTAAAAATTTTCCAAAAGAATTCAATTATTTAAACAAAAATTTAATAAAAATTTCACAAGAATTCAATTACTTACCATTTTTTTAATAAATTTCTTCGCAAAAATTCAATTATTTTCATAAATAATTAAATTTTTACAGAGATTCAATTATTTTCGTAAATAATAAAATTCTTCTTAGCAATTCAATTATTTTCACAAAAATAATAAAGCTCATTGTTGAATTTCAATTTTTTTTAACACAATTTGAATCGGATTTAAATTTATTAAAATTCGTCAAAAGAATTAAATTATTTAAAACTTTATTAATAAAATTCTTTATGAGAATTCAATTTTAAGAAACTTGCAATTATTCAATACATTGTTTTTTTTGTATTCAAATAATTGAATTCTCGTAAAATTTCTTAATAAAAATTGATTTAAAAATGAATTACAGAACTTTTTCAAAAATTATTATAAAAATTTCTTTGAGAATTTTCAAATCCATCTGTTCACAATTCACTTTTACAAAATTACAATTATTCGGAAATTCTTCAATTAAATATATTTTAGAAAATAAAAACTTCAAATAATTTTAAAAAAAAATTCAATTAAACTTTTTCAAAAGAAAAAATTAATTCTACAGGATTGTTAGGTAAAAGTAAGAAAAATTCATATTTTCAAAGATTTTGATTTGAAACCTTTTCAAAATTCAATTTTCAAAAATAATAAAATTTTTACAGAAGTTCCAATTATTTAAAAAACAATTTTTATTTAATTTAAAAAAAAATTTAAAAGAGTATTGTTATTAAATTGTTCTCGGGAATTTCATTATTTTTGAAAATTTAAATGGAACTCTTCGCAGAAATTCAATTATTTTCAAAAATTTTTTAAAAATTCTTCAACAGAATTGAATTATTTTCAATAAAATTTAAACTAAATTCGTAAAAAAAATTTTCAAAAATTCAATTATTCAAATACATAATAAAATTCAACGCTGGAATTAAATTATTTTCATAAATTTTATTAAAATTCTTCAAAAAAATTCAATTTTAATAATTTACTTCACAATTAAATTTTACAAGAATTTATAAATTTTTAGAAATAAAAAAATTAAATTTCAAAAGATTTTTAAATTGTTAATATTTGAAAATTTTTATTGTTGTAAAGCTGTAACAATATTCAATTTTTTCTTTAACAAAAAATTATTAATTATTTTTTTTCTTAAAAAAATGATTAATTATAGTTGTAATTTTTAGAAATTGATCAATTTCAAAAAGATTTTACACAGTAATTATTTAAAATATTGTAATTGTAACTCTTGTGGAAAAATAAATAAGTATTTAAATATTTATTTAACAAAAATGATTTAATTTGGAAATTATTATGAAAAAAATTCATCTTTTATCAAATTTTAATTAAAATGTTTCAAAGATACTTGAATTCCCGTAAATTAAAAAAAATTTTTGAAAATAATTTACTGTTTCTGCAAAGAATTTTATTAAAATTTCTAAAAATAATTGAATTTCTGTAAATAATTCTGTTGTTTATCAAGATAATAATTGAATTCTTTTGCAGAATTTACTTAAAATTTTTTGAAAACAATTGATTTTCAGAGACGAATTAAAATTTATTTATGAAAATTATTTGAATTATTGCAACGAATTTTATTATTTTATTGAATAATTGAATGTTCCTTAAAATTCAATTCTTTCATCAAGTTTTAATAAAAATTTTTTATAATTGCATTTTACGAGGAATTTATTTAAAATTATATTAAAAATATATTTGAAATTCTGCGCTGAAAATAATTCAATTCGTAAATAAAATTTTATTATTTATGAAAATAATTGAAAATTTTCGTAGAATTGTAACAAACAATTTTTTCAATAATTAAATATTTTCATAAATTTTATGAAAATAATAAATATTGAAAATTATTCAAGTGCAAAAAACTTTAGGAAAATAATAAAATTTTGCAAAGAAGAATTTTATTTCAATTTTTTTAAACTAATTGAATTTTTGGCAAACAATTATGCTATTGGTAAAGATAATTGAATTCTTTACGAGATATTCGTTAAAATTTTTAGAAATAATTCAATTTTTTCAAAAAATTTTATTATTTTTGAAAAGAATTGAATTCTTGTGATGAATATTGTTATTTATGAAAATAATTAAATTTTGCAAAGAATTTTATGAAAAGTTTTTAAAATAATTGAATTTCTGTGAAGAATTTTGATATTTCAGATAATTGTGTTAAAACTTTCGAAATAATTAATTAATATTAAAAAATTCATTCAATTGTTGGAAATAGAAATTTTTTTTAAAAGTTCTTTTGTATTAGATTTCGTAGTAGTTTTATTGTTTATGAGGCAAACAAAAAAGACACTAGAAATTCAGAATTTTCTCTTTAAATTCTAAAAATTTAATTATTTCCAGTACTTTTAACAAAAATCGTTGATTTTTCCCTGAATTCCCTGACCTGTGGCTTCCCTGTTAATTACACTAAAGCGTCAGTCGAGAACAGAGCTGTTCTCCATTGACGCTCTAGCGTACAATCATTAAAATTGTGTAAAACTATAATTACTTGAACTTTTGCCGTCGTATCGCCCCGATGCAGTACGTATAAATGATGAACAGCGGCGAGTGAAGGACCACCTGGATGGGGTTGTATCCTGAAAATATGAAAATCATGTCCTCGTTTGTCGGCCGTCATTAAGAGTGATCCAGTCAGATCGAATGTCATCGCGACGATTGCATCATTATGTGCGGTGAAGTGAGCAACAACCGTTTCTATTGATTTGTCTAAATCCTTCTCTTCCTTCGCCGCTTGAAGATCGAGTATTGTTACAACGCCCGGTTGTGTGATGTCAGTACCCGTATTGTTCACCACCATTGGCGACACTGAGTTTCCTGTTAAACTCGACGCAACTGTCTCTCCCAAACCTCGTAATCCTTTTCCCAAAGATTTTGCAGCATAGAGAACAGCCGCTGTGTAACTTTGTACACCTTCACCCTCACTACCTCCACTACTTCTTCTAGCTAATATTAATTTCTTTTCACTGCAATGATAAAGTCAATTAGACTTCAATTCTAAAAGAGAAAAACTGAAATAGAATTGTATAATTATACCTGTAGGCCAGCCATCTTGTACCTAGCGAAACCGGATTAGGATTAGGGCCAGGACTGGGATAACAAGTTGTAACAGTGAAGACGTCTTCAAGTGTTCGAGCATCGAAGACGGCGATCTTCTCAACGAAAGTGACGACCACTGATCTCTTGTTAGCAAGTATGTCACAGACTGGATTCTTGAACTTTATACTCTTGACCTGCTCGCCAGTCTTCATGGAAATGAAACTGACATTGCAGAATTGTGGTCCAGGACCAGCCGAGTCACAAATTGCGACCAATGGTCGTTTCGTTTTGAAGGGATCGTTCCGTTCATCATCGACTTTTGGATTCGATAGAACTCTTAAAGTACGAACGACACCCTGACGCCATGATAAAATTTCAGACGCTTCTCCAGAGGCCGACACCAACCAAACCTGCACACCGGTCGTGTAACCCAAAACTAACAATAAAGGCGGAGTATTTGATCCCTCAATATAGTCAGAATAAAATGAAGGATCATTTATATCAGCATATTCGAATCTCGCCCATGTTATGGACTCTTTGTTGTCCGAATTCGGCACTCCGGTGTAGGCCTAACAAAGAAAGGTGTAAAATAATATATGTACATTGAAAAATAACGTTCGGAAATAAAAATCTGGACTAATTTTACTCACTTGGGGAACAATGTCATTAATAATCCCAGCCACACTGTCTATGATGGTACGATCGCTGATTGGCTGGGGCGTAATCACCAGGGCTCCTTTGTGTCCCCCCCTTCTTGGTGAATCCGCCGACATTTTCCCTTTCTATACAAATTTCTACTTTCTGCAATAAAAAAAAAACGCTTTAAACTAATTGCACTTACGAATAATGATTTTTATAACTAATTTTATGGTTCTCTCTTTTCCGTATTTCCTGCATCCTTTCTATCCCCTCATCTAATTCATTAATCTCTTTATCCCTCTCATCACTCTCAACACTGGACTAACCACCCTTTATTTAAAATTTTGCCAAAAATTCTTAACCCTTTACAAACGCGTGCATAACTCAACGGTACGGGTCGACCATTTATAGGTTATGTTTGCAACAATTAGAGCGAAAGTAAATAAACAAAGAGGTATTTTTCGATCAAAAGAAATCTATCACAAACATAACCTACAATCTTTCAACGTTTTCTTCAGAGCAAGTCACATATAATATAAGTAGCATTTCCTTTCATCCTCTTCCATTTTCAGTATTTACATTCTCTCATTCCTTCACCCATTCTAAATCTTCATATCATCTCTTCTTTTGTTTCAATATTATGTCATCACAAACATAACCTACAATCTTTCACCGTTTTCTTCAGAGCAAGTCACATATAATATAAGTAGCATTTCCTTTCATCCTCTTCCATTTTCAGTATTTACATTCTCTCATTCCTTCACCCATTCTAAATCTTCATATCATTTCTTCTTTTGTTTCAATATTATGTTAATATTTTATAATTATTATAGTTTATTTTCTTGTTTGTATTGCACATTAATGATCCTTGTGATTGAGGGCTAAGACTTAAATAATATTACACATATTTCTCGAACTCTTTCATTAACAATTTCATTCCACTTTCATCTTCAGCCATCAACACGACTTTATCCGTATATGCTAATATTCAAGGTTTACAAAAATTCAAGGTTCATAAAAATCGATTGATTCTATCACGAGATATGAATTTTTTAATTAAGCGTTGTAAAAAAATTTAATTTGTTTATAACTCAGAGAAATTTTAATTATTCCAAAAATCCTTTGAACTGTTTAATAAACTCATAATGAAGTTTGCATTTTACGTGTTTTCAATAGAATACAGTAAATTTGAAATTTTCCTGTTGCACTTCAGAAATTTTGACTCATTAACTGGTTCACGACCATTCCATTAAATCCATTTACTAATTAAAATAAATTAAGTAAATATAATTAAATAATATAAATATGAAATAATTTAGTAAAGTAAATAAAATAATAAGTACTAATAATAACAATTGTAATAAAAATTTAAAAAAAATTATTACACTGCAAAATTGTAATGTTGTTCGTATATAAAATAAAATGTAAATAGAAATAAAATTACTAAAATAATTTATCATAATTTTTTGAAAATAATTTTTCCTAATATTTATTAAAATATAAAGAGTATAATTTTCATTTAAAATTTAGAGAAAAGATAATAATGTAATAATTTTAAAAACCTAAAATTATCTTTTAATGTACAGTTATTTTTATAAACAAAATATTTCAGCTCGATTTAAAATTACACACAATTACTAAAAAAAAAACTACATATATACATAAATGTCTACTTATGAAATGTCCTTTGTTTACAAAACACAATATAATCTACTTCAATAAATGTCAATTTAAAGAAAAAAATGTTTGCAATTAATTTTCAATTTTTATTCTCGTCAGAAAAAATTACGCATATAACAAATCGATTAAATGATACAAAACACAAAACTGTTAATTAGTGTCGCAACCTTTTCATATGATTAAAATACTCTAGATATAAGAAATAAATATCTATACTTCATTTTGTTTCGTATATCACAATAAAAAAAAAATTCATCACATTCATTTGTTTTCAATTGTCAACAAAAATTGTAAAAATAAAATGAAACAAAAAACAATTACCTATATAGAAAATAAAGAAAAGTATTTAATTGTTGCATAAAAAAGCGTAGGCGATACGGAGGCAAAAAATAGAACCTTCCGAGTAACAAAGAAAACATGAAAGTTGTTTCTTTAGAAAGAAAAAAAAAGAAAACAAGTTGTTTCCTTTCAAATATCAAATCATATATACATAGAGATATAATTGAAATAAATAAAAAAATTCTACTTACTTTAAGGAAAAATCGAGGTTTCATGATGCGAGACACATCAGGACAAACAAAGAGCGTTTACTGCGTCATTTTGTTAGACACTTGAAGCAAACTGATCACTGACAGTGCTGACAGTTAAGCGCACAGCCAAACAACAAATGATGTCATACACACACGAAACGTCAATCGTGCCCTTGCGCATAACAATTTTCCCCAAAATGTATATTATCAAATGTGAATTTATTTAATTAAAATAGAATAAGGATATTGGATATTTTAATATTTGTCATAAAAGTAATAAACTATGACGTGATGTCATATTTTAATAATTTATATTAATTATCTGGAGGGTAAAAAAAAATTTCTTTTTTTCTTAGAAAAAGAAACGAAAACAATGATCAGCTGATTTTAAAGTAACCAATGTTCTTTGTGCGCTCTAGCAACTGACAGACATACCTATACCAAATTTGGACGCGTCCATTCCAGTGTACTTTGCATTTGATTGGCTGTCTTGTAAAAATAATAGTGTATCAGAGATGGGAATGTGTGACAATCAACTAAGTGACAAGTGGATTATGGAGCATTCACACCTTTGGTAAAAATTGTCCAGAACGGAAAATCCACATTGGAGTAAGAGAGATAGATGTACAGTCTGTCTCTCTTACTCCAATATAGATTTTTCATTTTGGACAATTTTTACCGAAGGTAAACAAACAAAAAAATGGTGACAAATAAAAAGAGATTAATTAATGGCTGTTGGGTTGAATCCACAATTGTAATTAACGTTAACGATCTTAATTACTTTTCTCAACTGTTCAATGTGGGCATTCAAAATTTGGACAAAAAATGGCAAAACCATTCTTGTCTTTCTCTCTCAGAGGCATAAGTTTGTCTTACTCTACATTTTCTGTTTTTTGGAAAAAGTAAGAAAATGTAGAGTGAGACAAACTTATGCCTCTGTCATAGAAGAGAGAAAGACAAGCATGGTTTTTTCGAATAAATTCGTGTGAACGTACCCTAATGACCATGAATCCTCATTATTTTAAATCCATTGACCTAGAGAACCTAGATTCTAGTACCTAGAATTTTATTTTCAACCAAAATTATTATATGCAAAAAATTCACTTTTTGAACGATTTTAAAAATTTTTTTAAATTAAAATTCGTCTATTTCTTTGTTTTTTTTCAACAAAAAATTTCAAAATCTTGAATTTCTTACTAAATTTGTAAATTTTTGACATTTTCGAATTAAATTATTTTTGCAAAATATTAGTTTTTTTAACGATTTTGAAAATTTTTAAAAATTTAAAAAACGATTTTTTTAAATATTTTTTTTACTAAAAATTTTAAATTTTGAATTTCGATTAAGTTTGTCAAATTTCAACAGTTTCTAGAAATAAATTATATGCGAAAAATTAGTATTTGAAATATTTAAAAAAATTTTCAAAATTTAAAAATCCTGAAATATTCGTCAATTTTTTCGAATTTTTTTGGTCGAAATTTTTTTTGTAAATTTTGTTCACATTTTCAAACATAATTATTTGCAAAAAATCAGTTTTTGAACGATTTTGAAAATTTTTCAAAAATTAAAATCGTCGACTTTTCCTTTTTTTTTAAAAGAAAATTTCAAAATCAATCAACAGTCGACTAAATTCATGAATTTTTTTTTATTTTCTAACTAAAATTATACTAAAAAACCAGTTTTTTAAAACGATTTTGAAAATTTTGAAAAATTTCAAAATCGTCGATCTATTTGTTTTTTTTTTCTTTTGAAAATTTAAAAATCTTGAATTTCGATTAAATTCCTCAATTTTCAATATTTTACAAATAAATTATATATGCAAAAAATTAGTATTTGAACAATTTAAAGAATTTTTTAAATTTAAAAATCGTTGATTTTTTCTACGGAAAAATGCAAAATCTTGAATTTCGGCTAAATTCATGAAATTTTTTCATTTTCCAACTAAATTATAACGCAAAAATTCAGTTTTTGAAAATTTTTCCAATTTTAAAAATCGTTGTTTTTCTATAAAAAATTTCAAAATTGTGAAATTCGTCGATTTTTTCGAATTTTTTTTTGCATAAAATTTTCCAAATCTTCAATTTCGACTAATTTTGTAATTTTTTTTATTTTACATTTAAATAATACGCAAAAAATCAGTTAAAATTTTTTAAAATTTAAAAATCGTCGTTTTTTTCTAAAAAAAAATTTTTTTTAATCGTAAAATTCGTCGATTTACTAAATTCGTAATTTTTTTTTCATTTTGAAACAAAATTGAATGATTTTTAAAATTTTTCTCTATAGGAAATTTGTTGATTTATTTTACAGAAAATTTTCTAAATCTTAAATTTTCAACTAAATTTGTCATTTTTCTTCATTTTCCAACAAAATTATATGTAAAAAAAAATCAGTTTTTGAACGATTTTGAAAATTTAAAAATCTGTGCTATGTGGGATGTGATTTATAAATATACTTTTCACTTATACAAATCACAATAAATATATTTCTCATATATACAAACGAGTATGTAACATCTATTATACAATTAGTGTAGAAATTGTCGATACGACAAAGCGTTTAAGTTTAAAAAATATTTACAAATAATTATAAATATGAAATAAAAAAAAAATAAATTCAAGATCTAATAGGAGTTGAAACAGTTGATTTTCTAGAGCATCCTTTACATGTTGGTACTGGACGTTGTGATTCATGACCTGCTAGTACTTTTTCATCTCCCATACATTTTATGCAGAAAATATTTCCGCAAGAAAAACAGTGATACTAAAAACAAAGAAATTATTATTTTCAATGAATGAAAAAATAGTTTTTTCTTTGATTAAATTTTAGTAATTAACATTTAATTTAATTAAAATTTTAGTAATTTTTAACATTTGAAATTACCTTTATATTAAAGACGTCGAAACTAGCCGCACAGATGCATTCATTAATATTCCGTGAAAATTTCCAATCCAATGCGACAGCTTTCATTTCTTTTTCAAGTTGATTTGCCTTTAATGTGTCAAGTAATTTATCATCATCTTCCTCTAAATTATCAATAATTTTCTCAGAGAAATATTCTGTTAAATTTTTATCAAGTTTAAAATTTTCATCCTTCATTGGAACATTATTGATTGTAAATAATTTCCCCAATGAATTCATTCGTCTAATAAGTAGTTTAACGTGATCTTCAATTGAATTTTTATTATCGTGAATAGTGTGTAAATGATCTTGAAATGTTTCACGTGGATGAACACCATTTTCAAAACGACAATAAAAACCACGCCACAATGTTATTGATTGTGGTGAAAGTTTCGGTTGAAGAACGGCATTCATTTCTTTTTCCGTTACATTTCGTCGATAAAATGGATTTATGTATTCGTTTAAATGTTTCGAAACATAGCCCGAGAAGGAGTAGGTTTTTTCGGTGATTTTAAATTTTTGACGTTCCTTTTCACAATTACCAATGAATGTACCATATTGACAACTGTGAACATGATCGTGGAGAGTTAAAAGAAATGTTTCGTTAAATTGAAATGCGTATGGATATTGTTGAAGTAATTGATAAGTGGAATCGATGAATTGTGTGAAAATTGGAGCCAATTCTTTGCTGTCGCTTACAATATGACCGCAACGATCGTTGAATTTGTGGCCAAATGAGAGCCAATCTTTTTCAATTAAAATTTGAAAGCCTTGAATACTTCGGTAAAATGGATCGAGAAGTAAAGCGGCTAGGGAACAAACTTGAGCGGTACGATCCCATCCATCGCTGCAATGTACGACAACGCTTATTCCGTTAGACACAACTTGTGCAATGAACCACGAAGTCTCCAAAATTGATTTTATATGCTTTAACCATCCACTGCTTTCCAGGCCCGTTAAAAACGATCCCATTGACGTGCTTTTTTGTACTGGAATAATGGAAATATTAAAAAAAAAATTGTAATTAAAACAAACCATTTTTTTAAAAAAATAAATCATAATTTTAGGCCTCGGATCGACTTTAAGGTGCAAAAAAAGTCGATTTAAAATAGAGAAAAAGTCGAAAAAGTCGTTTATTTAATTCAGTGTCGTCACAAAAATTTTAAGAAATAAATTTTAATTTCAATTATTTTCGAAATAAAATAAAAATTCAAAACATTTTTAAGAAATATTTAAGAAATACAAAAATATACTTACAATCAATTAATTTACTAAGACTCGCCCTCATGACATGAATATTTTCTATTCCAAAGAATTTAAATTTAATATTATCGTAGAAATTTTCGTTTTCATAACCTTTACCAGCAGCTCTATTGGCCATTGCATTTATCTAAAAAGTAAAAATGTTAATTCTTTTCGTAAAGAGAGAGAAAAAATTTTCTTTAATTATATTTTTCCTATTGTATTTTCTTACCCTTGGTCGAGTATCCACAACATAAATGTACTTTGCATTTGTGTTTGTACAAAGAATATTGTACAACATTTGTTCGTCCTCTGGACAACGAGCATTAAAACCAGAAAGCGGTTGACTACAACGACAAATCGCTGCCTGCAATAGAAAAAACTCAATAAGTACCCCACAGATCATAAAAAATAATTCTCAAAATAAATTATTTTTAAACAAAACTTAGAATTTTTCCCAAACTCTAAAAATATTTTACTTTACTCTAAAAATAATTGAAACTCCAAAATATGTTTATAATACATTTTTTTTATCTTCAACTGTAAAATCATATAGATTTTTTGAAATAAATATTTAATTATCCATTATTTTTCCATAGGTATTAAGATTTAAAAAAAAATCAAATTTCGAATCGAATTTTTCTTAACAAACCTTATTTTTATGCAGATAGGTTAACACTGGTAATCTGCCTTTACTTCTAAATTTTGCGCTGCCAACCAAAACGCTTGTTGTACACGTGGTTGGTACAAATAAACAGCGCGGATAAGTTTCACACAACTACAATGTAGAAAAATGGTTAATAATTTTAAAAAATTAGAAAAAGGTTAAAATTATAATAATGTTAAATACCTCGTAATTTGTGTTTAAGTATGAAATACTCCATTCATCATTTGGAGCGCCTTGACGTTGAAATTCTCTTTGTATATTAAAGAGATTCCAGCCCAAGTGTTGAGGCCATGATTCTTTATAGTGGAAACAGTAAAGATCCTCCATTCTCGCTGAAAATAAAAATAAAAGTAAAATATAAACGTCTTTCGAATAAAAATTTTAATTTAAATATATTTATTTATTTATTGAAGTAGTAAAATATAAAAATAAATTCAAAATTTTTTAAATACCTGGTGAGGAGAGTTTAAGTAAAGTGAGGTAGACTTCATGACAATCTCGTTCTTTGGCAATGATAAAAGTAACGACAAAAAAATTCTTGAACTTAATTAGAAGTGGTGAACCAGTCGTAGATAATGGCAATTTTTCAACACTTGCAATATGAGTGTTTAAAACCTATTACAAAATTTTTTTTTTATTAATTAGAACTAGATAAAAGGAATTGGCGATGCTTTTTATAATAAATTTTAAAATACGTTTTCGACAATTGTCTCCTTGAAAAAATTAAAATTTTAAAATTATAAAAATTTTAACTTACCCAAATTTGTTTTTTTCCATTTGAATCGACAAATATAATATGTGTTACAGTAATGTATAAAGTTCCAATTGAATGATTATTACTATATTTATCGAGCATTCGAACATTTTCCACCTGGAAATTATTTTTAAAATATTATTTTTATTCTTTTTTTTTATAAAAATAACATTTTTCGAAAGAAATCTTTTTATAATGGAACTTTTAAAGAACAGGTATAACTTTCAAAGAACAGGATTTTTATTTATTTTACTTTAGAAAAGTGAATAAAAAACTATTTGTTTTAACCTGTATGGAATTTTTTCCCTAAAGATATTTACAATTTTCTAAAAAAATGTTTTATAAATATATTAATTTTGAAAATTTTTGTATAAAAATGATACAAATTATTATTTTTTATTTTCAAAGAAGAATAAAATTTTGTTAAAAAATTGTGATTAGAAATAGAAATTTTTTCTTTTTCAAAAAGAAAGTTATAATTTTGTGAACAGAATTGTGATTGAGAAAAAGAAATATTTAGAAAATTTTAAGTAAATCAAGTTTATTTCTTTTATTATAATATTGAATACATTTTAAAATTAATAACAAATAAATAAGTTACAAACTAATAAAAGTGATTTCTAGCAAAGAATTTTATTCAATTTTTGTTTAAATAATTGAATTCCCATAAAAAAATTTATTATTATTTGTGAAAATAATTGAATTCTCAAGAAGAATTGTATTTAAAATAATTGAATTGTATAGGGAAATTTTATTAAAATTGCAAGTCTATTAATTAAATCTTGTAAAGAATATTGTCAAACTTTTTAAATAACAGAATTTTCAAAAGAATTTGATTTAAATTTTTCGAAATAATTGAATTTTTTAAAACTATTTTTCCATTCTCTGAATATATTTATATTCTTAGGAGAAATTTCATTAAAAAATTAAAAATTATTGAATTGGTGCGGAGAAATATATATAAAAAATTGGTATGTATTTGAATTCCTGTGAAATTTTTATTAAAATTTTGTTTAAATAATAGAATTATTTTGTAAAATTTTATTAACACTCTTATAAAACATGAAAAAATTCTCTGCCTTTCAAAATTGATTCTCCGCAGCAATAATTGTTATTTAATTTCAAAATATTGTTTTTATAAATTATTCTTAAATTGTGATTGTTGATTAAACGGATTTGAGCAAATACACTTTTCAGTATTATTATTATTATTAATATTCTTATAAAACATGAAACAATTCTCTCCCTTTCAAAATTGATTCTCCGCAGAAATAATTGTTATTTAATTTCAAAATATTGTTTTTATAAATTATTCTTAAATTGTAATTGTTAATTAAACGGATCTGAGCAAATTTATTATTCAGTGTTATTATTACTATTAACATTATTTTAAAACATGCAACAATTCTCTCCCTTTCAAAATTGATTCTCCGCAGCAATAATTGTTATTTTATTTCAAAATATTGTTTTTATAAATTATTCTTAAATTGTGATTGTTGATTAAACGGATTTGAGCAAATTTATTATTCAGTATTATTATTACTATTAAAAATAATAATGTTTTTCTAAGTTTCATTCTCTACGAAAATTAAGGTATAAAAAATAAAAGAATAAATAAAATATATTCAAAATGATATTTATTTTGTTCAAAAATTATTTTTTATTTATTTGATAGGAAAAATTTTTTGCTAGCAATCGTTTATTGAAATTAGATAAGAAACAACTAATTATTAAAATTTTCACATTTGAAAAAAAAATTATAATTCTTTTAAAAGTGTTTTAAACATTGATTAAACATTTCTGATACACACCATGGAACGTGTTATTGACTCTATAGAATTATTCATGATTTTTTAAAGTATATTATCACTTGTGACACAATCAAAACATCTGTTTAGTTTTTTTTTTGTTAATTAAATTTTACTTGTTTTTAATAATTGATTTTTGACATCTATATGTCTATATTTATTCACTTGACAACTTGATTCACTACATTCACTAATCACTACTTTAGAGATACCAGATACGCAGAGATATACTTTGCTTCTTTGCAATTAAATTTTTGTGATATTGAGGTTATAGACATACAGACAGGGTTGAGTAGGGAATTCTTTAAAAAAAACCTACTGTTGATGACGAAAAAAATTGACACGTGGTGACTAAAGGTGAATTCACAAGAAAGTGACGCGTAATTTAAAAATTACTAGAATTTCTAGTGGTCCCTAGTGGAATGTAACCATAAAGTAGACGCACATATTTTTTACATTACAAAACTCGAATTTATTTATTACTAATTCAACCCTGGTTCTTGCTTATCTTTCTGTGTCTTTCTGTCACAACAAAATATCCTGTCACTAAAGAGAAATAGAGAATATTGGCAAATTTCAGACTCTACGCACAGTTAATGAACATATAAAAACTAACCTCTTCTTTCAATTTTTTGAACGCAAAAATTGTAAAATACTAAAAATTTTTAAGTGCTTAGTAAGTATAATTTTTAAGTTAAAAAAACAACATTATCTTTAAAAATTACCACATCCAAGCCATTCATTTTATTTAACAAATCTAATTTCGAAAAAAAACCTTTCTTTGAAAATTAAAAAATACATTTCAAAAATTACGATTACGACCCAATATTTATTTCTTTCTTTTTCTTGTTTATTTTCAATAAAAGAAAATACACATCCTTTCCTTTTGAAGGTAAAAAAAAAATTTTCCCAACGAATTTTATATCATTCGACAATAATTTTACACAAGGTATTTTTGTTTTTGTGTTTATCATGAACGGTTACCATTTGTCTTAGTTTACAAAGATACAAACACAAAAATGATACTAGATTCTAAAGAGAAATGTACTTAAAAATGAAATATCTAATGGATTTTTTCATTTACAATTAATTTATTGTTTGTTTGAAAATAAATTGAAAAAATTTCTTCCAGTGATGTGAAAAAAATTACATGCATCGCAGACAAAATATTGGACAGTCTTTTTTTTTGTGAAAAGGTTCATATAATTTCACAAATGCCTTCAGCAACAGGTAAGAGATAATTTATTTTTTATAATATAATAAACAATGTCCAAATTATTTTTTCCAATCAGTACAGAAATTTATAATTTTAAATTAATTAGAATTTTATGTAATAATGTTAGTAAAATTTACCATATAAAGAAAAACAATGTGAAACTCAAAATATGAAAAAATCTACTATTAGATATTAATAATTATAATTACTAATAATGAATTACTTATTTATAAAAATAACACTTAATAATTAAAAATATTTTATTGGTACTTAATCAATTGTTAATAATAATAATAATAATAATAATTTTAATAATTTTAATAATTTTTTTTAATAATAATTATTATTTTCATCATTTCTATTCAATTATTATTTTCTAGAATTTTTAACAAAAATCCTTCTTTAAATAAATTATTTTTAATAATTTTTTGTAAAAGTTCTTTAAGAATTTTGCAAATCCATTTATTTACAATTCAATTTTATGAAATTTCAATTATTCGATAATAATTCTTCAATTAAATATATATTAGAGAATAAAAAACTTTAAATAATTGAAAAAAATCAATTAAACTTTTTCTAAAAAATTAATTCTACAGAATTGTTAGTTAAAAGTGGGAGAAATTCAAATATTCCTAAATTTTAATTTGTAAACTTTTCAAAATTCAATTATTTCTAAATTTATTCAGATTGTAATGCTTTTAATTTTCAATTATCGAAAATTTTAAATAAAATTTATTTTGAAATCAATTTTTATTATAAACTTCTTATAGTGATTTCAATTATTTAAATAGAAAAATAATTTATTGAATAATTGAATGTTTCTTAAAATTCACATCTAATAAACAATTTTATCAACATATTTTTAAATAATTGAATTTTTTTTAACGAATTTTAATCCAAATTTTTAAGAATTATAATTGAATCCGTAAAAAAATTTAAAGTTTATGAAAATAATTCAATTATTTTAGAGAAATTCAATTAAAATTGCAATATAAATAATTGAATTCCTGTGAAAAATTTAATATTTATGAAAATAATTCAATTATTTTCGAAAAATTCAACTAAAATTGAATTTAAAAACAATTGAATCCATGTAAAAAATTTGATTATTTATAAAAATAATAGAATTATTGCGAAGAAATTTATAAAAAAAAAAATTGTAAATATCTAAATTCCTCTGAAATTTCTATTATTTATGAGAATAATTAAATGTTTGCGTAGACATTTTATTAAAATTTTTTGTAATTGAATTTTTTTAAAAAAAACTTTATTAAAATAGTAAATATTAAAAATCATTGAATTGAGAAAAATTTTATGAAAAGAATTGAAATTTTGTCAAGAATTTTATTGTTTTTAAAGATAATAGAAATTTTTACGAGAATTTTTAAAAAAATTTTTAAACATAATTGAAGTTCTGTAAAAAAATTTTATTACTATTGAAAATAATTGAATTTTTTCAATCATTTGTAACTTCTCCAAAAATTCAATTTTTATTAGTATTTTTAACTAAAATTCTTTTATAAATCCATTATTTTGAATAATTAATTATATATTATATTAAAAAATTTAACTAATTTCAAAAGAATTTGAATTATTAAAATTTTTTAAAAATCTAAGTTCTTTAAAATTTCTAATGAAAATTCATTCAAAATTCGAAATTTTATAAAACTTCAAATAAACCTCTATTTAAACAAAATTTCAGGCTCGGTGATAAAAGATATTTAAAATACATTTTGAGAAACAAGAGATTTGAAGAGTAGCTTTTTTTGATAGAAGAAATAATCTAAAAGAAAATCAAGTAAAATAATATGTTAATTCGCGCACTGATGTTCTTGAAAAATGTGCAGTCGTTCGCGATTGAAGAAAAAATGTGCAATTTTCGAAAATGCACGAAGAAATCAGACCAATTGGAGGGTGCAATTTTATCAACGTTTACTTGGCATTCAACGAAATTTAAACGTTTATTCTCAATATCGAAGTAAATTATTTTCACTTGAGAGGGCAAACTTTAAAAAAATAAAAAAAAAACCTAAAAAAGCATGGCCGGCTTTATATTTTGATAGATTTTAAAAACCCAATGGCACCTAAGGAAACTTAGGGGAACATCTTTAGTTTATATTTTTATTGATTTTTTTGAAAGTTAATTTAAATTTTCGCCAAAATATTAAAATATTAAATCATTTTTTTTGTTACAATTTTAAAAATAAATTTGTTTCCTTCGGGGGAATGGAATTTTTAGAGCTGGCCTTGCGATTAAAAGAAAAATTAAAAATAGAAATTTTTTTTAACAGAAGACCATTTTTTTCAATTCTTTTTTTTCTAGGCGGAGGTCAGCAAAAGGGTGGGCCTAATATGCCCAACAATGAGGAATGTGGAATACGAGATGTATGGGGACACAATCTTGAAGAAGAATTTCGGGCGATACGTCAAGTAGTACAACAATATCAATATATAGCAATGGACACAGAATTTCCAGGAGTTGTTGCAAGACCAATTGGTAAATAATAGAATAATTTCAATAGAAAAATTTTATTTCTTTTTTATTTGCAATTGAATATATTGAAATGATATTTCTATAGTCAAAATTAAAATTACATGATAATTAATAAAAATTTTATATAAATGAAATAAAATAATAAATAAATATTATTTAAGATAAAATAAAATATTATAAATATAAAAATGATTCAAATGAAAATAAATATTAGAGTAAAATTTGTACAATGAAAAATATAATTTCAATGAAATTAAAAGTATAAGAAATTCAAAATAAGGTCAACTGAGTACAAATGTTAGGGTAAACAGAAAAACACATGGAAAACGTAATTTTTTATATTTGTAAGTAGAGATTTAACAGTCTGTCCCCTATTTCCCTAAAAGACCCCTTTTTTAAATTTTGGCCCCTAAACGTACCCTATTTTGAAAATTTCCCCTATTTTTTTTCGTCGCAGGAAATCAATTATTTTCAATAATTTCTAAATAATTTTTGGAAAAGAATTCAATTATCTTGATAACCAACAAAATTCTCCTTATAAAATCAATTATTTTAAGGATTTTTAATGAAATTCTTTTCTAAAATTCAATTATTTTGATAAATATGTATCAATATTCATCACATGAATTCAATTATTGTCAAAAATTTTAATTAAATTCTTGGCAAAATTTCAATATTTAAACAAAATTTAATAAAATATTTTGCACGAATTCAATTTTTTTTATAAATTTTAATGAATATCTCGTCAAAAATTCAATTATTTTTATAAACAGCAAAATTTTTCGTTTAAAAATTTAATTATTTTCAAAAATTTAAATAAAATTCTTTGCAAAATTTCAATTATTTTCAAAAGTTTTCCGCAATTCAATGTTTTTTTTAAATATTTACTATTTTCATAAAATTTATCAACAAATTTAATTATAGAAAAAACTTGTTGATACAATTCTACGAAAAGATTCAATTATTTTCATAAATAATAAAATTTCATTTACAAATTCAATTATTTTCATCGCAGAATTTCAAGTATTATTAATACAATTTTAAATAAATTCAATTAGCTTGATAAACAACAAAATCGCATAAATTTTTCCCATAAAATTAATTATTCTAAGGAATTTTTTAATAAAATTCTTTTCCAAAATTCAATTATTTTTGATAAATATATCTAAATTCATCACAAGAATTCAATTATTTTTAAAAAATTTAATAAAATTCTTCAAAAAGTTTTCAATTGTTTTCAAAAATTGTTATAAAATTCTTTAGTATAATAAATTTAATACTAATAAAAATAATTGATTTCTCGTAGAATTAAATTATTATTTTTCGTACATTTTAACTAAAAATTCTGTAGAATTGACTTTTTTGAAAAAGTTTAATTGATAATAATAATTGATGTTATTGATTTAAAGTAGAATTTTAGTTAAAAATTCTAGAAAATTTTTATTGAATTGAAATGATAAAAATAATTTTAAAGAAATTACAGTAAAAATATTCTTGTAATAATAAAATAATGATTTTGTCAGTCGGTCAACTTTATGTTTTATAATAATATTCTTATGAGTTGTTCAATTTAAAAAGGTTTGAATTTGAATCTTTTGAAGAATTTTAATTCCAATGAAAAATAATGATTAAATATTTATTTGAAATAAAGTTATTGATGTTTTCGAATAATTTTAATTTTGAAGAAATTAGTAAATAAATTTAATAGAATATTTTTTTTTGAGTATATCTAATAATTTTGAGAGTGAATCAGAATATTCTTTAGGGTTAGAGAAAAAGTCAAAGTTGTGTTTGGAAATCAGGGAAAAATAAAGTTAAATTTTTGGTGTCAACCCTGTAGAAATAAATTATATTTTTATCTTTATTTAACCAATTTTTATTGTCCTCTAAAAGTTCCCTATTTTTTAATTTTCAGTCTCCTATTTTCCCTAAAATACTTTTTAGAGGCACTGTGAAGCTTGCTTTAAGAGCTAACGAAAAAAATCAAAATAATATTATTATTATTATTATTATTATTATTATTATTATTATTATTATTATTATTATTAAAAAATAATAATGGTAGTGAATATAATTCGTAATCCTATTTTTGGAGAAATTTTAAAGTAAATTTTTAATATTTCAGGTGAATTTAGGACGAGTGCAGACTATCAATATCAACTTTTACGTTGCAATGTTGATTTACTGAGGATTATACAACTTGGTCTCACATTTTTAGATGAGACAGGTAATACACCAGGTGGTAGTTACACAACGTGGCAATTCAATTTCAAATTTAATCTTCAGTAAGTTTTCTTAATATTCTGTTTTAACCAATTTACAAATTTTTCTCCGCCATATTGGATCCGCCATTTTGAATTTTTTAAATCTGGCCACAGATTCAAGTGGTCGGAATATAAAGGCCCTTTTATTATTTTATTTTTGCGCTGTAATTAATTTATTTTTTCGGTATTTTTTTTTTTTTGGAAAATGATGGTTAATTTATTATTTTTAGAGAGGACATGTATGCACAAGACAGTATAGATATGTTGCAAAATAGTGGTATACAATTTAAAAAACATGAAGAAGAGGGAATCGATCCATTAGATTTTGCCGAACTCTTAATGACATCGGGTATTGTACTAATGGATGACATTAAGTGGCTATCGTTTCATTCTGGCTACGATTTTGGATATCTTTTAAAACTTCTCACCGATCAAAATCTACCACAAGAAGAAAGTGAATTCTTCGATTTACTTAGGATATATTTCCCAACGATTTACGATGTTAAAGTAAGAGGAAAATGATTTCTTTTTTCTATAACTTTCATCTCTTTTTTTTTCTTGAAATAAAATTCAAAGTATTTTAATTTTATCAAAAAAAAATTTATGATTATTTATTTTATTTTTAAATTTATTCTATCAAAGTGATTTTTGTTTTGTTTTATTAAATTGAAATTTTTAATAATCTAAATTTTTTAATTGTAATTTTGTTTATTTTAATTCTTTAAAATTAATTTTTGCATTTAAATTCTTTAGTTTAAATTTTTGCATTCAAATTCTTTAGTTTAAATTTTTGCATTCAAATTCATCAGTTTAAATTTTTGCATTTAAATTCTTTAGTTTAAATTTTTTAATTTTAACTTTCTATTTATTTAACTTAAAATTTTTATAAATACAATTTTTTATTATTTAAAATTTTATTTCATTTTTGTTAAGACCGATTTTTAATATTATTTATCGAATTTGAAAATAAATGTATTAAAAATCTTGAATTCCTAAGAAGAATATTGTCAAAAAATTTTTAATTTTAAAATATGTAATTGAATTAGAAGAAGTTTACCAAAATGTTTAAAAAAAATAAATATATTGAATTCATTCGAGAAATTTTATTAAAATTTTATTAAAAATAATTGAATTCTTGCGAAAAATTTCATTGCTCATGAAAATAATTGAATTATTTTAAAGAATTTCTTTCAAATTTTAAAATTATCGTGTTTGTTAATAATTGTAAAGAAACATTCGATTATTGACTTTTATTAAAATTTTTAGAAAATAATTAAATTATTTTCAGAATTTTACAATTTTAACTGAAAAATTTAAAAATAATTGAATTTTACGAAGAATTACTTTCTAACTTTTCAAAATAATCGTGTTTGTTATTTATTGTTGTACCTACTTAAAAATTGAATTATTGAATTTTCTCAAAATTTTTTTGAAAATAATTGAATTCTTCACAAAATTTTATTACAATTTTTTTTTAAATAATTGAATTCTTTCAAGAAATTAAATAAAAATTATACTAAAAAATTGAATTTCTTTAAAGAATTTGGTTATTTATGAAAATAATTGAATTCTTATGAAATATTTTGTAAAAACTTTTGAAAATAATTGAATTATTTAAAAAAAAATTTATTATACAATTTTTTTGATAACTCAAATTAAATCGTTTCGAGAAATTTTATAAAAATTATATTGAAAATATTTGAATTCTTACGAAAAATGTTATTACTTAAATAATTGAATTTTTTTGAAGAATTTCTTAAAAGTTTTTAAAATTATCGTATTTATTCGATTATTGAATTTTATTAAAATTTTAAGGAAATATTTAAATTTTTTCAGAATTTTATAATTTTAATTGAAAAATTTGAAATTAATTGAATTTTACGAAGAATTTCTTTCTCATTTTTACAAAAAAAAAATTAAAATTATAAAATTTTTAGAAAATGATTGAATTTCACGAAGAATTTCTTTCTAATTCTTTTTAAATAAATTAAAATTATAAAATTTCGAGAAAATAATTAAATAATTTTCAGAATTTTATAATTTGAATTGAAAAATTTAAAAATAATTGAATTTTACGAAGAATTTCTTTCTAATTTTACTAAAAAAAATTAAAATTATAAAATTTTTAGAAAATAATTCAATAATTTTCAGAATTTTATAATTTTAATTGAAAAATTTGAAAATAATTGAATTTTACAAAGAATTTCTTTCTAAATTTTACTAAAAAAAATTAAAAATGTAAAATTTTTAGAAAGTAATTGAATTATTTTCAGAATGTTAGAATTTTAATTGAAAAATTTGAAAATAATTGAATTTTACGAAGAATTTCTTTCTAACTTTTTAAAATAATCGTGTTTGTTATTAATTTTTGCAATTAAAAATTGTATTATTGAATTTTTAAAAAAATGTTGTAATTAAATAATTGAATTCTTCTCAAAATGTTATTACAATTTTTTTTAATAATTGAATTCTTTTAAGAAATTAAATTGTACTAAAAAATTGAATGTCTCCAAAGAATTTGATTATTTATGAAAATAATTGAATTGTTTTGAAGAATTTCTTTCAAGTTTAAAAAATTATCGTGTTTGTAATTAAACATTCGATTATTGAATTTTATTGAAATTTCGAGAAAATAATTAAATTATTTTCAGAGTTTTACAATTTATTTTAATTAAAAAATTTGAAAATAATTGAATTTTACAAAGAATTTGTTTTTAACTTTTTAAAATAATCGTGTCTTTTTATTAATTTTTTGTAATTAAATAATTGAATTCTTCCCAAAATGTTATTACAGTTCTTTTATTTTTTTAGAAAATAATTGAATTCTTTAAAGAAATTGAATAAAAATTATACTAATAAATTTGAATGTCTCCAAAGAATTTGATTATTTTTAAAAATAATTGAATTCTTTTGAAACATTTTGTCAAAACTTTTCAAAATAATCTAATTATTTAGAAAAAAATGTTATTACAATTTTTTGATAATTTAAAAATTCGTTTCGAGAAATTTTATAAAAATTGTATTGAAAATAATTGTAATTCCTACGAAGAATTTTATTGTTTATGGAAATAATTGAATTTTGGCGAAGAATTTTATTAAAATTATTGAAAATAATAAACAATAATAATCAATAATGTACTTAATTGAAGTATAATTGTTAACGATTACAATTTTTTCGATTAATTGAGTATTTACTTTTATAATTACAGTTTTTTAATTAATTATTATTAATTATTTTATAATTAATTATAAATTAATTATAATTATAATTAGTTATAAAATAATTAATTATAAAATAATTAATTATTTATTTTCTTTTTTTTTTGTTCTTTTTTTCACATATTATTTTCTTTTATTATTAAAACATTTTTTAATTAATTAATTACTGTAGGTTTTTGTTTATTAAGCATTAGTTTTATAATAATTGTTTTAAACCAATTTTCTTTTTTGCAGTACCTCATGAAGTCTTGTAAAAATTTGAAAGGTGGTCTACAGGAAGTGGCGGAGCAGTTGGAACTTCAAAGAGTTGGTCCACAGCATCAAGCAGGTTCCGATTCTTTATTGACGGGCATGGTGTTTTTTAAGATGCGCGAGGTACGTATTTTTATTATTATCATAATTCGTATTTTTATCATTATTTTACATTTTTATATTATGTTTATTATTTTTTTTTCATTCGAAACTAAAATTTTATATTATTTTATATAAAAAAATTATATATAATTTAAAGTTTTTCTTCTTTTCCTTTTTGAGGAAAAATTTTAGTTGAACCTATGAAAAAAGTGAACAAAAAGAAGGGGGGGGGGGGGGGGGGGGCGAGGAAAATATGCAAATAATCTAAAAATTTTTAAATTAAAAAATTTTGTTTTAAATTTTAATTTTTTAAATTTCAGATGTTCTTTGAGGACAACATTGACGATGCAAAATACTGCGGTCACTTGTACGGATTGGGGACGTCGTTTGTCGTTAATGGTTCCGGCGGCTATCTCGAGAGTAACGGGGAAAATACATCGTCCTCGTAATTATTCAGGAGTAAATACTTCAACTCCAAATCATACACGCGACACAGTACTAGCGAATCAATCACAAAAGAAAAATAAAAAAACAACATGTGTGTTCGTTCCGTTTTAATTCTGAATTTTCGGAATAATTTTCAGTGAACGGAAGCGAACAACGAATAATTTCTTTTCTTTTCTTTTTTTGTTCATCTTTTCTTTTTTTTTTGTAAAAGAAAAAAAAACATATATATATATATTTTAATTCGCGCATCATACAATGATTTTTGTGTTTTATGCGTACCAATTGACAAGAGTTTATACAAGTACGCATGTCAAATGTGAAAGAAGAGAGATACAGAGACATTAAAAATGAAAATTGTAGAATACATGTAATCTTGTAATAAATTGTGACAATATAAGTATTCAAGTTATAAAGTGAATAATTTTTTTTTCCTTTTTTTTCAATACTATGTATTTAGACTGATTTTCTACAATTTTACATGCGACAATGTACATTTGTACAAAATTTTAACTCTCTGGGTGAAAAAAAAAATAAGTTAAAAGGACAATTCTGGAATTTTCCGTTTTATTTCTGAAAAAATGGTTTAAATAAATCCTGAAGTACATATTTTCGAAACATAATTAAAAATAAAATAATTAAAAATGGTGCAATTGAAAAAATATTTAAACTAAATATTTCTATTAAGTAGAAATATTTTTCCGAAGCAAAATAATTATTTCGTAAAATAATTAAAAAACAAAACATTTGTTTCGTAAAAAAATTAAAAAAAACGATGTAATAGAGAAATATTTGAACTAAATATTATTTATATTTAGTAGGAATATTTTTTCAATAAATTAATTAATTTCTATACTTTACGAAAGAAAATAATTGTTTCGTTAAAATAATAAAAAACAAAACAATTGTTTCGTAAAATAATTAAAAACAAAACATTTTTTTTTGTAGGTAAAATAATTAAAAACGACGTAATTGAAAAAATATTTTAACTAAATATTTCATATATATATATATATATATATATAAAATTATATTTCAAAACATTTTTCATGAAAATTCAATTTATTAAAAAAAATTTTTCATAAAATTATAAAATTATAAAATAAAAATTTTAAGCAAGAATTCAATTATTTTCATAAATAATAAAACTCAACGAAGAATTTCAATTATTTTTAATACTATTTTAAATTAATTAATCAAAAAATTTTCAATTATTTTCACAAATAAAGTTTTCCACAAGAATTTTCAATTATTTAAAATAAAATTTTTATAAATATTTATTATATTTAGAAAAAAAATTAATTATTTAAAACAATGTTTATAAAATTCTTATGAAGAATTCAATTATTTTCAAAAATAACAAAATTCTTCACAGTAATTCAATTCTTTTTAAACATTTTAATAAAATTTTTCGCAATAATTCAAAAATAATAAAATTCTTTTCATAAATTCAGTTACTTTGGAAAATTTTAATAAAATTCTTTTGCAACTATTCAAATATTTTCATAAATAATAAAATTCATCGCATGATTTTAATTATTTTCAATACAATTTTGCAGGAATTGCTCGAAAAATGTAATTATTTTGAAAAATTTTATTTTTATTGATCGAAACATTCAATTATTTAAAAAAAATGTTTTTTTTTTCAATTCTTCAAAAGAATTCAATTATTTACAAAAATATAAGCATTTCTCACAAGAATTCAATTATTTTAAAATATTTTAATAAAATTATTTAAAAGAAATCAATTATTTTAAATACAAATTTTAATTAAATTCAGGGTTCCTACGGAATCTGGAAATCATGGAAATGGTATGGAATTTTTAAATGGCTTCTGGAAATCAGGGAAATCATAGAAAAGAACTGAAATTCCAAGAGCACAAAAAAATGAAGCTAAATCGCATTGAAGAGAGAAAAAAATTTTGAATTTTAAGAAATTCGGATTTTTGGATTTTTGATAATTTTCGATAATTTTCGATTTTTTACCAAAGAGTCGAGACTATTTAATAAGTAAAGCATTTTCCAAGAGCACAGAAATAATGAAGCTAAATCGCATAGAAGAGAGAAAAAAATTTTGAATTTTAAGAAATTCGGATTTTTGGATTTTTGATAATTTTCAAAAATTTTAGATTTTTTACCAAAGAGTCGAGACTATTTAATAAGTAAAGCATTTTCCAAGAGCACAGAAATAATGAAGCTAAATCGCATTGAAGAGAGAAAAAAATTTTGAATTTTAAGAAATTCGGATTTTTGGATTTTTGATAATTTTCGATAATTTTCGATTTTTTACCAAAGAGTCGAGACTATTTAATAAGTAAAGCATTTTCCAAGAGCACAGAAATAATGAAGCTAAATCGCATAGAAGAGAGAAAAAAATTTTGAATTTTAAGAAATTCGGATTTTTGGATTTTTGATAATTTTCAAAAATTTTAGATTTTTTACCAAAGAGTCGAGACTATTTAATAAGTAAAGCATTGTCCAAGAGTACAAAAATAATGAAGCTAAATAGCATAGAAGAGAAGGAAAAATTTTGAATTTTAATAAATTCGGATTTTTGATAATTTTCGGTAATTTTAGATTTTTTATCAAAGAGTCTAGACTATTTAATAAATGAAGTATTTTTTTAGAGCACAAAAAGAATAAAGCTAAATCGCATAGAAGAGAGTAAAAAATGTTGAATTTTAAGAAATTCGGATTTTTGGATTATTGATAATTTTCGATAATTTTCGATTTTTTGGCAAAGAGTCCAGACTATTTAATAAGTCAAGCATTTTCCAAGAGCACAAAAATAATGAAGCTAAATCGCATAGAAGAGAGGGAAAAATTTTGAATTTTAAGAAATTCGGATTTTTGATAATTTTCGGTAATTTTAGATTTTTTACTAAAGTGTCGAGACTATTTAATAAGTAAAGCATTTTCCAAGAGCACAAAAAAAATGAAGCTGAATCGCATAGAAGAGAGGGAAAAATGTTGAATTTTAAGAAATTCGGATTTTTGGATTTTTGATAATTTTTGATAATTTTCGATTTTATAGCAAAGAGTCCAGACTATTTAATAAGTAAAGCATTTTCCAAAAGCACAAAAATAATAAAGCTAAATCGCAAAAAAAAAGAGGAAAAAATGTTAAATTTTAAGAAATTCGGATTTTTGGATTTTTGATAATTTATGATAATTTTCGATTTTATAGCAAAGAGTCCAGACTATTTAATAAGTGAAGTATTTTTTAAAAGCACAAAAATAATAAAGCTAAATCGCAAAAAAGAGAGGAAAAAATGTTGAATTTTAAGAAATTCGGATTTTTGGATTTTTGATAATTTTCGATAATTTTCGATTTTTTGGCAAAGAGTCCAGACTATTTAATAAGTTAAGCATTTTCCAAGAGCACAAAAATAATGAAGCTAAATCGCATAGAAGAGAGGGAAAAATGTTGAATTTTAAGAAATTCGGATTTTTGGATTTTTGATAATTTTCGATAATTTTCGATTTTTTGGCAAAGAGTCCAGACTATTTAATAAGTCAAGCATTTTCCAAGAGCACAAAAATAATGAAGCTAAATCGCATAGAAGAGAGGGAAAAATTTTGAATTTTAAGAAATTCGGATTTTTGATAATTTTCGATAATTTTTGATTTTTTGGCAAAGAGTCCAGACTATTTAATAAGTCAAGCATTTTCCAAGAGCACAAAAATAATGAAGCTAAATCGCATAGAAGAGAGGGAAAAATTTTGAATTTTAAGAAATTCGGATTTTTGGATTTTTGATAATTTTCGATAATTTTTGATTTTTTGGCAAAGAGTCCAGACTATTTAATGAGTGAAGTATTTTTCAAGAGCACAAAAATAATGAAGCTAAATCGCATAGAAGAGAGGGAAAAATTTTGAATTTTAAGAAATTCGGATTTTTGGATTTTTGATAATTTTCAAAAATTTTAGATTTTTTACTAAAGATTGGAGACTATTTAATAAGTGAAGTATTTTCCAAGAGCACAAAAATAATGAAGCTGAATCGCATAGAAGAGAGGGTAAAATGTTGAATTTTAAGAAATTCGGATTTTTGGATTTTTGATAATTTTCGGTAATTTTAGATTTTTTACTAAAGTTTCGAGACTATTTAATAAGTAAAGCATTTTTCAAGAGCACAAAAATAATGAAGCTAAAACGCATAGAAGAGAGGGAAAAATGTTGAATTTTAAGAAATTCGGATTTTTGGATTTTTGATAATTTTCAAAAATTTTAGATTTTTTACTAAAGATTGGAGACTATTTAATAAGTGAAGTATTTTCCAAGAGCACAAAAATAATAAAGCTTAATAGCAAAAAAGAAAGGAAAAAATGTTGAATTTTAAGAAATTCGGATTTTTGATAATTTTCGATAATTTTCGATTTTTTGGCAAAGAGTCCAGACTATTTAATAAGTAAAGCATTTTCCAAGAGCACAAAAATAATGAAGCTAAATCGCATAGAAGAGAGGGAAAAATGTTGAATTTTAAGAAATTCGGATTTTTGGATTTTTGATAAGTTTCGATAATTTTCGATTTTTTACTAAAGAGTAGAGACTATTTAATAAGTGAAGCATTTTCCAAAAGCACAAAAATAATGAAGCTAAATAGCAAAAAAGAGAGGAAAAAATGTTGAATTTTAAGAAATTCGGAATTTTGATTTTTGATAATTTTCGATAATTTTTGATTTTTTGGCAAAGAGTCCAGACTATTTAATAAGTGAAGTATTTTTCAAGAGCACAAAAATAATGAAGCTAAATCGCATAGAAGAGAGGGAAAAATTTTGAATTTTAAGAAATTCGGATTTTTGGATTTTTGATAATTTTCGATAATTTTTGATTTTTTGGCAAAGAGTCCAGACTATTTAATGAGTGAAGTATTTTTCAAGAGCACAAAAATAATGAAGCTAAATCGCATAGAAGAGAGGGAAAAATTTTGAATTTTAAGAAATTCGGATTTTTGGATTTTTGATAATTTTCGATAATTTTAGATTTTTTACTAAAGAGTCGAGACTATTTAATAAGTGAAGCATTTTCCAAAAGCACAAAAATAATGAAGCTAAATAGCAAAAAAGAGAGGGAAAAATGTTGAATTTTAAGAAATTCGGATTTTTGGATTTTTGATAATTTTCGATAATTTTAGATTTTTTACTAAAGAGTCGAGACTATTTAATAAGTGAAGCATTTTCCAAAAGCACAAAAATAATGAAGCTAAATAGCAAAAAAGAGAGGGAAAAATGTTGAATTTTAAGAAATTCGGGTTTTTGGATTTTTGATAATTTTCAAAAATTTTAGATTTTTTACTAAAGATTGGAGACTATTTAATAAGTGAAGTATTTTCCAAGAGCACAAAAATAATAAAGCTTAATAGCAAAAAAGAAAGGAAAAAATGTTGAATTTTAAGAAATTCGGATTTTT